ATTCTTGACTGGAATATTTCCCTCTCTTTAAGGCCTTCTTTGATTTCTCTTAGTAACGTTTTTCCTTTGAGCACAGAGGGCTCGAGCATCTCCGTTGTCTGTGTTTATCATGGTGGGTGAGTGAACTCTTTCCACTCGCTGTTTGTGGAGAAGCAGCCGATTTTTTAGATGGTGACTCTGTATCCGACGATCTTGCTGACTTAGCTTGTTAACGAACAGTTTGTCCATGCGTCCTCTGGACGCCCGGCGCACAGTCACGTCCCCTGTGAACAGGGCTGACCTGACGGCATCACCTTGGCCTTTCCAACGCTTGGCCTTTGTCCCCTTTCCTTGCATCCCTGCACAAGCTAGAACGTCCGGCGCGCGTGGAGCGGTGGCCCCCTCGCCTCCCCTCAGGTCACCAGCCGTGTTTGCTGAAGTCCCTTTGTCCGATTAAGGAAGTCCTCTTAAGTTTGCTAAAAGTTTTCAGCATGGATCGGCATTGGGCATTGAACGGTATCTGATGCTTTTTCTTCTCTGTTGAGAGGATCATATGGTTTCTCTCCCCTCCCCCCATCAAATTCGTTATTTTGATGAATTGCTTCATTTGCAAGTGTTAAGCAGTCCTGGTTCCTAGAATAAGCCCTACTTGGCCATGACACCTGCGCTGTATCGCTAAGTGCAGTCACATCTGTCCCTCAGGGAGGCTGCTGCGACCCTCCGGGAGGGCTCGGCCCACTGGCAGCCTCCGTCCATGTGTCAAGTGCAGCTTCCGGGTCGAGGGTGCTGTGCCTGGACCTCCCCGACTCTCCAGGGTGGGACGGGCCTTGTGCTTCTGCTCGGCGCCGACCCCCTGTGACAGGTCTGCTCTGATCGCCCGTGGGGCCCGCGGACCTTGTCACAGCTGTGTCACCTGACAGTCTCCTGCTCGGCCTCACATGGTCCCTTCCCCCCTCACAAGTCTTACTCATGCCCGGGGTCTCTGCTGCTCCTCGAAGGCCCGCCTTCACTTTTGCGCTCTCCCTGTCCTGCATCTTAAGTCGACGTGCGTTCATAGCCGTCAGACGAGCGTTCCACCACCGTTTCCAAGTCGGCAGTCAGACTCCTTTCCTCGCTGGCTGGTCCCCTGGCTGCCATCCTGCGTTGGCCACTGTGACCTGTCCTCGGGGCCTGCAAGCTCCCCACGCACGTGTTCGTCCCCACAGCGGCTTGCGGGCGAGGAGGCCTTGGTTGCCGGTCTGTTCACAGTGTGCCTCGTCTTCGTTTTTGATGGTGGGCGTCCACCGCTCTCAGCTCTGAGGACACGTGCTGTGTTTGAGAAGTAAGACACTGGACCGTTGTTGCTCCCTGGATGTCAGTGTGTCTTTGCCCTGACTGCCTTTTTTAAAACATTTCTCTTTCTTTGGCTTGCATCTGTCCTGTTGTGCTATAGTTAGGTGGCTGTTCTTTGAAATTTGCCTGCTTGGGTCCATGAGGCCTCTTGAATCTGTGGAATGATGTCTCCTATCAGTTTTGGAAAAGTTACAGCCATGATCTGTTTTTTTAATTTCAATTTTTTATTTTTGTTATTTATAATATACACTATTATATTGTTGTAGTCAACATAAATAACATAACTAGGAAGCAGGAATAAGCAAAAAATGTTTACATAAATTGCATGGAGTTGAAAAGATGTAATGAACAACAGTAGCAGTTTATATAAAATTCGTAAATGAAATCTGTTGTTCAGATATGTAGTTAATGACATGAAAATGCATTCACAGAGCATCGTTAATTGAAAAAAGCAGGGTGAAGTATGATCTCACTTCCAGAAAATTACCTACACGTGTGTGTGTGCTGTATTTGCACATACATAACAGGAAGAATGCTGGCTGTTCTGTATTCTAAATTTCCTATAATAATATCCTGTGTTTCTGTGTGAACAAAAACAAATCTATAAGTTGCTTTTAAGAGAAAACCGTGATGTTTGCTATAGCATTGTACAGAACAGTTACTTGTTGGAAAGTCGTGATTTTCCAGGGATAGAGTAATGGGGTGCGTTACGGGTGGTATGACGCCTGCGTTAAAATGTAAATTATTAATCTCTTAAATTCTACATTGCTTAGTATTTTTATTTTATTTTAGGCAAACTTTGGAGTCGGAGTTTAAAACTAGCTTACACTCTACTTAATAGACTGACTAGTAAGAGTGAACCACCACTTAAACCTGGAGACAGAGTAAGTAACTAGAATGCACCTTCCCCGGAGTGAGCAGAGATGGAGACCCTGCAGCTCTGCTGCGCTGACGTCGGTGTCTGCCAGCCGGTCAGGCGCACGGTGTCAGTGCGAGTCAGCATGGAGAGCGTTGAGTGGAAGGTTCATGGTGATGGAAGGTGATCGTGTTTTATTCTCCCTCATCGTTTATCCGCTGACTCTTCACCTTCTTTCCTCTTCGACTTCGTATATATTGATTTTAATAAAAGTATTAACATCAGATATTACTAAATGTTAAATTTCCAAAACTTTAAGTTTTATGAGGAAACACTGACCTTGCCTTGAAGTTCTGAGTGCTTTAGGTCCCTCTCTCCCTGTTCGTGTGGCCAGGCAGCCCTGCTCTGCTGCCAGCCCATCTCCTGCCTGTAGAGGAGGCTGGAGGCTTAGTTCCTCGTCCTGTGCTGCCCCGAACAGTCGGCAGTAGCTACACGAGGCTTTTTAAATTAACCAAAATTAAATAAAACAAAATATTTAGTACCTTAGCCGCACACGCCACATTTCAAGGGCTCGGTCGGCACGTGCGGTGCTGGCTACAGTACGTGCTGTCTTGGAAGGAGGTCAGTGGCATCGTGCGGAAGGTTCTGCTGGCCAGCACTGCTCTGGGCAGACTGAGCCAATGGGGGAGCCCAGGGCTGCCGGGAGGTCCAGGGCGGGAAGCAGGAGAACACCGTGATGGTGACCACGCCCCCCAGCAGACCCAGGGACGCCCCAGTGGACGGGGCTGCCTGGGGTCAGGTCGCCGAGCAGCGAGACTGAGCTGACAAGTGACAAAATTTCAGGCCCCCATCAGCACCTCGCTCTCAGTGTAAGTCGGAGGGAAACTTCCATGATAGGAGACAAGCAAAGGGCAAAGGAATGAGAGGGAGGAAAGAGGAGGCGGCGGGGTGGGCGGGAGAAGGAACGAGCAGACTTGGCGGAAAGCCAGATGCAGAAAACATTTTTAGAAAATGAGTAGTAATACTCCTAGAGATCAATGAGGAAGATATCGCTCCATCAATTAAGTGAAATACGCCAGTAGGACAGACCCAGAGATGGATGGGTGAAAAGAAAAATGGTGTGAGAATGAGACTTGACCCAGAAGGCCCGAGAGCTGACCAGCAGGAGTTCCAGGAAGAGAAAGGAGAAGAGGGGGTGGTGACATAGGGCAGGGCGCCGGGAGGGGTGCAGGGGAGGACCTGCACGTGGTGGCCCCACGCGGGGTGTGGGGGGGGGCAGGGTGGCAGGGCTCCTTGGTCAGGCTGGAAGGGGCCAGGGCTGAGGGCTTGGGCAGTGCCGAGGGCACCCGGCTTCACCTGTGCACTCTCCCGGGCCGGTGGATGTGAGGCTGGGATGCAGCATGTTCTCAGACACACAGGACCCAAGCTCGCTCCCTCAGGAAGTCCCAGAGCAGGTGCTTCAGCCAAGTCAGTGGGTGGGGCCCGGGCACCAGCCAGCAGCCCAGCCAGGCTCCGGAGGCGGAGGCCCCCGGGGGCGGGGAGCTGGTCAGTAGCTGGTAGAGCTTCTGAGCGCCTCTGACTGGTTGGTGATGGCCGGGTCTCTGTGGCATGCATGGGCCGCGCTCCACAGAGGCGGAGCGGTGGGGATGCCAGTAGCTGTCACCGTCAGCTGTTACCGTCAGCAGGGAAGGAGAGGTGCAGCTGGCTGTGAGCGTGTAAGCAGTGCGAGGGTGACACTTGGGCTGTGGTGCTCTGGTGGGCTCTAAGAACCCCTGATTGAGGTTGTGCTTCAAAGTGAATCTAAGAATCACTAATTTATTTTCCTGAAAAAAGTTCTTGCAAGGACAAGACTTTCAGAAATTTTCCTGACTTGAGAGAGAATCCAAGCTAATTATGATGATTGACAGGGTTTCAGTGAGTTCATGATCAGAGATGGGTGGCAGGTTCATCCTCTCGTGAGAATATGTTTGTGAAAGCGAACAAAAATTTGTTTTAACGAATTCTCTGAAACGTATTTTCCATACCAAACATCTCGTCTCAAGGCTGTAAGCCTCAATTCTGGGATGGCCGCTGTCAACAGCTTTCGAAGGAGAGCTTTGCCCGTTTCAACAAACTTGCTACAAGCTTGTTTACAGAATGAGTATCGATATACCTCAGATCTTGTCTTACGAAGTGCATGGTTATTCGGTGCCCACTGATTTTTGTCCAGGGGCCTTTGATAACGGCCTACTCAGATGCTGTTCTGACTCCTCACTGTGATCTCAGGCACACCAGTCACTCTGTCTGGGGCTCACCAAAATCTTATCCCATACAGAGCTCGTAATTTAACCAGCTTATTATAAGAAATGGAAATTGGAAGGGGTGAAAGAAGAGGGATAAAGGCTAAATATTCATCTACAACAAGAAGTAAAATTGGTACCTAAATATGTTTTTTAAAAAAAGACAGCAGTGTGAGCATGATATTTAAAAGCATGAGAGTAAATAGCAAAAGGAAGGTATAAAATGTTTAAAGTGTTTGCCTTGGGGAGTGGGGAAGGGCAGGGCATGGGGGTATTACTTTTCATTAGTATATTTTGTCATTTTAAATTCTGCGTTTTATAAAGAATTTAATGAAAATAGAAATGTAAGATAAAATAAAACTTGTAATTTAACTGGCAGCCTGGTGAGCAGGTGGGCGGGGGAGGGGGGGTCCAGGGGGAGGGAGCCACTGCCGGGGCCCCAGGGAGCCGTGTACACCCGCCACCCCTCCCTGTGAACGAAGGTCTGTCAGCTGATGCTTCAGTGTTAGGACTTCTTTCAGAAGTGATTCTAGATAATAGCTTGATCCCTCGTCCACTTTTCATGGTGGCCTAGGTGTTTTTCACCTGGGCTAGTTGGTGGTGGGTGATGGCCCATCTCTTCCCTCCCAAGTTGCTGCTGCCCCGACAGTCAGAGTAGGCAGAGCTGGACCCACCCCACGGCTGGACCCGTGCCGGAGGCCTTCAAGCCAGCGGTTTTAAAACTGCTCTGTTGTATGTAGAGGGAGTAAAGGCCTCAACCTAAAAACTTTATTAAAAGTTACATGGTTGAGGAAATTTAAGGACCAAGAATTAGCCCCCAAATTTCATTTCTGAACTACATTTGAAAAACTGTAAGATAATCCAAAATGTCTCAATTCCATGTGATCAGTAACTATTCTAAGAGTTGGGACGACACAGTCATTCACAAGTAGACTTCATGGTTTTTTCTGTACCATTGTAGGTGGCGCTGGTGTTTCCAAATAATGACCCTGTGATGTTCATGGTTGCGTTTTACGGGTGTTTCCTGGCAGAGCTGGTCCCTGTGCCCATCGAAGTCCCGCTAACAAGAAAGGTAGCATGCTCGGGCCTGGACACAGGCTCGGGCCCCGTGAGCTTCGGCGGTGTCTTCTCCGTTCTCGGGAGCGGTCAGCAGATGCAGTCTGGCTGCAGATTCCCCTTTTTACGAATCACGTTGGTGAGAAGGGGCACTTAGAACAGCTGAGCTATTCCATCGCCTGTTTAAAACGATGAGCATCTTTTCCTCTAATGAGTAAAATTTGGGATTTGATAAGATTTTGTTAAATTTTTTCTCAAAACTTTGTTCATCGGTAATAAGGTTCATTTCTTGGGGATAAATAAAACGTTTCAGTAGTGTATCGCAGCTTGCCTCTCTGACAGTTTTCAGTCTGCGGGGTAGACATTTCCTTGCGTGTGTGTTCAGTTACACAGAACAAGCAGTTTCTGCTGCTGACAGATTGCGATGGTCAGGGCTTCTCACACGCTGGGAGCCACTGCATCTCACACGCAAAGAGCAGAGATCTGACTATTGAAAAAATGTTTCAGGAGCAGACTAGACATGTGTCTTAGAAAGACAGTATTCACTTGTCAACGTGCAGGTCGCCAGGAACAAATATTCAAAAATCTCAAAAGTAGAGTTTGCAAATAAAACCAGTACATCTAAACAGATTATATATGATGACAGATATTTGAATACACGGATTCTTAGAAAAAACTAGAAATTTGTCAAACTTACAAGAAGAAAATAGAACAAGTTTACTGAGGGACCCATAAAAGTGGACTTGACTAGGAGGAAACATGCATTTCCGTGTGGAAATAATTAGTGTTGCTCAAGGCCAGACCTCCCAGGTTAGTCTGTCAATTTCCAATGTAAATCAGTGGAAATTACAATGCTATTGTTTTTGGAGTTTATTAAAATGCTGCTAAATGTCATTTGCAAGAAAAAAGTGAGAAATTTGCCCTTTATCTGAACTTCAATTTTTTCTGCAAAAATATTTTTTAAATTTAAAAACAATTGTTTTATTCTCATGAAAACATAGTGTATAGGATTGGATTGTTCTAGAAGTCTTACGAGGAGTAAAAGAAGCACCGCGCTTTTCGCGCGTGGGCCCGCAGGGCGGCCCTGTGCTATGCGTCTCTCTGTCTCCCGCAGGACGCTGGCAGCCAGCAAGTGGGGTTTCTGCTGGGCAGCTGTGGTGTCGCCTTGGCCCTGACCACGGACGCCTGTCAGAAGGGCCTGCCCAAGGCGCAGACTGGGGAGGTGGCGGCCTTCAAAGGTGGGCCCCCGGCATGGGCAGCCACATCCTCCCTGATGCGGTGTCCCTAGCACTTCCCGGCGGTCAAGCCACCGAGGCCGAGGGCCTCCCAGGGTGTCGCAGCCGACCTGGCTCAGGTCTGGCCTCCACTGTCCAGCAGGTTCTTGGTGCAGGCCGAGTAGGATCAGGACTCGGCTGGGCTTGCGCCACATGTGGACGGCAGGCCCGGTGTGGGAGAGAGTGGGCTGACCGTGCCTCTGTCCTGTCCCTGCTCTGCGCCCTGGCAGGTTGGCCTCCCCTGGCCTGGCTGGTGATCGACGGGAAGCACCTGATGAAGCCACCCAAGGACTGGCAGCCACTGGCCCGGGAGGCAGGGCCCGCGACCGCCTACATCGAGGTGACCCCTGTCCCCCGCAGTGCGGAGCGGAGAGGCCCGTTTGTGCCTCCATCACGGGCTGAAGCTTCTCTCTCCGCTTCACCCCAGGAGTAGCAAGCGTCATGGCGACTCCCCAGGCCCTGCCGGGTTTCCCCCCAGCTGGTCCCCGCACTGGCTCCTGGGCTGCGGGCCCTCGGGAGGGAGCCTGCGCGCCGCTGCCCTCAGCGCCTGCCCGGGAGGCGCCCCCTCACCTGAGGGCTCACCCCGGGCAGACGGGAAGCGCACGGGGCGGGACACGCTGCCAGCTCCTCAAACCCGCCAGCCTCCAGAAACCTCACCTAACGGCCCTTTCTCCTTGACCTCTTTCAGTATAAAACCAGCAAAGAAGGCAGCACGGTGGGGGTCACGGTGTCCCATGCGTCCCTGCTGGCACAGTGCCGGGCTCTGACGCAGGCGTGCGGCTACTCGGAAGGTAAGGCGTGCGGGGGCGGTTCCAGCTGGATGGGGGCAGCCACTGCGGCTCTGCTCGAGCTGCATGAGGGTGTGGGCCACCTGGCGGCCCCGCCCAGGGCCCCGTGCTGCAAGTTCAGGTGTGCATCACTTCCCAGTGGGCATCCGCGTCCCTCCAGGTCGTGGGTGCAGGGCCGTTCCCCCCCCCGAGGCAGCGCTGAGGGACGGGCAGCACATCTGCAGCTAAAAAGTGGAATCGACATGTCGGGTACACGTCCCGTCGGGTACACGTCCCGTGTTCTGTACACCTGTGGTTGGGCCTTCAGCTGTCATGCGCACAGATGTACACGTGCACTCTGTGGTCACAGGTTAGCTCTTGGTGGCCCCCATTCCCTGTTAAATATCAGATGTTGAACTTACTCAAAAAAGCATACGAACGGACACATGGCAGTTTTCTCCCCATTACGATATTCGAACAAAACTCACAAGTACACCGGACGGCACGTTTAGGTGCTGCAGACACCGGTGTTTGGTGCTGGGTTGGGCGCGGCACAGCCGAAGACGGCAGCAGAGATCTGGAAGAGGCCTTTACGTCAGTCCAAGTGCCGGCATAGTTATTTAAAGTTACGTCTACCAGGTCGAGTCTCGCGGTTTTCTCTTTTGTCAGGCCGGGCCCAGCCTCACGCCTGGCTCCGGTGACCTGGGCTCCATAGCCTCCAGGGACCTGTGCGCAGCAGCACTCCCGGCACGTGCCCCACTCCTTGTTCCCGTCCTGCCTGCTGTGGGGCGCACTGGGGGGGGGCTCAGTCTCCTGTCTTGTGCCTGGAGCCCGGTCCCGCAGTCACGCCTCTAGGAGAGAAAGTGGGCAGGAGAGGCCTCTCTGAGGGACGTGACGTGAGCGGCACGTGCTGCTTCCTGAGGGTGCAGGGCGACGGCCTCGGGTGTGAGGAGTGGGGGCTCCCGTGACCGTCATCACCCCACGTCTCCTCGCACAGCGTCTTGGCCGCAGGTGATTTCTCAGGTTTTCAGATTGGTGGTCAGCATCGTTCTCTGTTGTAACCCCAAGGTGAATGGCCTTCTGCTTTATGTTTTCCCAGTAATTTGAATAGAAACCGAGGTTCCCGATGAACTAGTGCACGGCGTCGGGAAATGCTATGGGCTGCCAGAGTCTCACGTGTTTGACGCGCTGATCCCATTTTCTCTGAAAGTGCACGTCTTGTGCGGAGGCTCAGCCAGCGGTGTAACCTTCTCTGTCTGTTTTCAGCTGAGACGTTAACAAATGTGCTGGATTTCAAGAGGGATGCTGGCCTGTGGCATGGAGTGCTAACAGTGAGTGCTGGGCGCTAAGCGACCTGACCGTGGGGGCCAAGGGCTTCTAACGTTGATGTCAGTGCCCGCCCCCAGACCTGCTTCTCAGGTGCTGTGATTAACTACCCCCAAGCGAGCCGAGGCACTTGACCCACGTGTCTGAAGTGAAGCACTGTTGTGACAGGCGCGCGGCTGCCATCTGGCCTCTCGTGGTGGCTCGGTGCTCTGCCGTGCGCACGGCCGAGCCCTGAGCGTGTCTGTCTTCCGCAGAGCGTGCTGAACAGGATGCACGTGATCAGCATCCCATACGCGCTGATGAAGGTGAACCCGCTCTCCTGGATCCAGAAAGTGTGTTTGTACAAAGGTAAGGATTCGTCCTTCGTTGAAGAAGTCTCTCTGAATGAATCCATGGTGATTAGGGAAAATCAGAGCCCGGGTGCAGAACTGCAGATGGGGCTGATGGCCGGGTCTCAGGCGCATGCGAGGTGGTTCTGACTCGCCAGTGCTGGCCGCAGGCTGTGCAGCCCAACCCGTGTGCGCCAGGCCCAGAAGCCCGTGGCGGGGACCGTTCAGTGCCAGCTCTTTTCCACAAGCACCATGGGCTCCCGATTTTATTCTCTCGAAGTTTTCCTCACAGTCACACCAGAACACTAATTCCTAATACTTGAGATGGTTTTACTTTGAAGTCAGAGCTTTTCTAGCCACCAGCAGCAAAGCTGTTCAAAGCGACTGGCTGCCCTTGGGGCCTAGGCCTGCGGCCCTCTGCCTTCGGGCGGCCACCCTGCACGGCCCACGCGTCCCTCTGCCCTGGCGGAGCTGGAGGGCACCCTCACAAACCCGAGGCCAGTCGCCCTGCGTCGCCCTGGGTGCGGTGTTTGCGCGTCCACCGCACTGGTAGTGGTGTCCGTTACCAGCGTTTCTGAGTGCGGCCGTGGGGCGTGTCTTCAGTGAGGCCTCGAGGTGGTGGCCGCCTCTGTCCTGTTTCACAGAGGAAAACAAGCCTGGGGGCGTTGGCAGGAGCCGCCACAGCACGGAGGGGATGAAGGGCTGAGGCCGCGCTGGCCTCTAGGGGCTTCCGCGGCTCGGGGATGGACGGGTGAGCCGGGGCAGGGCGATGGGGAGCAGCGAGGCGGACTAGCCCAGAGGAGGGCGTTGCAGGCGGGGCCGAGCTCCTGGGTGTCAGACCTCCCAGTCGTTTCTCCTCCGCAGCTGGGGGGCGGGTTGGCTGTGTATGAGCTGGGTCCGAGTGTCCCCCGCACGTGCGGGTGGCGCCGCGCCACCCTCACACCGGTGCCCCTCCCCCGCAGCCGGGGCCGCGCTGGTGAAGTCCCGTGACATGCACTGGTCCCTCCTGGCTCAGCGGGCCCAGCGCGACGTCAGCCTCAGCTCGCTGCGCATGCTGCTCGTGGCCGACGGCGCCAACCCGTGTGAGTAACCCAGGCAGCTGGGCCGGGGGGCGGGAGGGGGGCCAGGGCCAAGGTGCAGTGTGGCGCGTGCGCGGTGACGCTGCCGCTAGCCCTGGGGCCGGATGGCATCCGCACACTTCATGCGTGGGTTTTGGCCACTTAGTTGGAAGCGATGTTAACATGGTTCAGAGAAGGCACTTACCTAAAAGAGTCAACTTTCTTAAGAAGTGACCAGAGCAGAGACACAGATGGAGAGCCCTGTCCTGCCTCCACGCTTTGGACTCCTGCCCCCCTGCCCTGTCCCCCACCTCGTCCTGGCAGGAGCACCCCCAGCGTGCCACTCTGCTTCCTGGCAGGGCCTGAGCATTACATCTTGGGGGGCCTCGAGGGACTCTGGGGGTTTCTGTGTGGCATAAAGCTGTTGACCAGGTAGGTGGGAGGAGAGATGATTGCATCGAAACTGCCCCCAACCAGAGGCTGGCCTGTCATCTGGTCCCCTGTCTGGTGTGGCCTAGCACCCTTGTTCTCCGGGAGAGCACCCCACCTTCTGGCATGCCAAGCCTGTGGTTCCTGCCATCCACACCTGAGCCCAGGAGGGTTTCCATCCTGCCTCCAGGACACTGTGGTGCCTGCCACTCACTCCTCCGTGCCTCCACCCACGCCCGCAGCCAGGCTGCTTGGCCACCTGCAGTCAAGTGGCAGGCCGTCAGCGGGCTCCCCTGCGGTTGGCAGCTCTGCTGCACCCACAGGCTCCGCCCTCCAAGCCAGCTCCCCACAGAGGACTGGGGTCTATGGGGCAGCCCTGGGGTCCTGGACAGGCAGCCCCTAGCCTCCTGGGAACTGAGTTTTCATGTTGGTGGTACCTCGGCCTGTGGCCAGGGCCGACATCAGGGGACACAGTAGAGGTCGCCCTGCAGGGAGACGTGCCAGGAGACGGCTGGGCAGGCACTTCTAGATGCAGGGTGCTCATAGGCACGGAGCCTCGTGATGTGCCAGGTCGGGCTCCATAAACACTCTTTGGTCATCTCTAACTCTGCAGACCTCAGGGACATGGGACAAGGCTGCATGTGGCAGATGGGCAGAGCTGGCCATGAGATAGGCCTCAGAACCAATGCAGGGGTTAAAAATGGGCCTGTGAGCAGTCTCCAGCGTGTTGCTTTCGTGGGAGCAGCTCCCACCCTCCGCACGAGGCCTTTGTTCCTGGTCTGTGACAGCGGCTTACATTACGTGGTTCAAACGTGACATGGAACAGGGTCAGCCTGTGCCGTTTCCGGGCCCGTCGCCGCAGTGTCCGTGCCCAGAGCTTGTCGGCCCAGCGTGTTGGCCGTGAGGTCCGGCCCCCTCGGCCAGAGTCACCCTCACGTCCCGCTCCGCTGCACGCAGGGTCCATATCCTCCTGTGACGCCTTCCTCAACGTCTTCCAGTCCCGAGGCCTGAGGCCAGAGGTCATCTGTCCTTGTGCCAGTTCTCCTGAGGCCCTCACGGTCGCCATCCGCAGGTAACCCAAGGCTTCGTGTCTGTAAACGTAACCGCCGCTCCTGCCACTTGGCTGCCGTGGCGCCAGGTGCCCACGCCGTGCCAGCATCCCAGGCTGTCAGCGCGTCCTGGGGAGAGGCGCCCACGGCCCACCCTTCCTGCCCAGCCACCTCTCGCCCGCCCGCGGCTCCTGTCCACAGCCGCCCGGCGCCATCCTGGGGCAGGGGGCAGCGTGCTCACAGTTGAGGGCACCAGAGCATTGCTGCTCGTCGTGTCCTGCGCCCCGTGCACGTCTCCGAACAGCACGCACTTTCCCACGCGCAGGTAGTAAGGGACCCTGAGGTGCGGGCCGCACAGCGTTAAAGCGGCAGCGTCACCCTTCACTAGCAGTAGAGTGGTCCCCGGCCCGGGGGGGCCACCGACCTGTGCCCCTCAGCGTCGCGATTCCCACCAGCGCAGAACCACTACTCCCAGGCCTCGGCGCCGCCCTCGCGCCCCTGCACTCAGGACTTGGGGCAGAGCTGCGGGCAGTGCCAGGGGACTGGGCCGGGGTCGGGGGCTGCAGACACGGTTCCTCCCTGCATGCGGCCACGCCGCCACGTGTCCCTGGAGTGGGCTGCTTTGGGACTCCTCGCCTGTCATTCTGCTTACCCGGCTGCCTGGGGCTCCTGGTGAGTCCCCAAGACCGGCAGGTGGAAGCGAGTCACCTTTATGACCTTGGAAGTCACCTCGCTTCACTTTCTGTTGTCCCAGGCCCACTGGGTGAAGGGAGGAGGGTCGAGGTCCCACCGTAGAAGATGGCGTGGGCAGGGGAGCCACGGTCTCTCTAGGAACGCAGGCACCACTGCAGTCCCGCAGCTGGTGTCCTCGCAGTGTGCCGCAGAGCAGGCCAGGTGGCGTGGGACCCCCTCCTGGGGGCTCGTCCCTCATCAGCCAGTCCGCCTCTGTTCCCCAGGCCACCCGAGCTGGGAGGCCCTCCTCCGAGAAAAGCCATGCTGTCGATGACCGGCCTCAGCTACGGCGTGGTCAGGGTCGATGCCGGGGAGAAGCTGTCGGTCCTCACTGTTCAGGACGTCGGCCAGGTGATGCCTGGAGGTAAGGGTGCACCTGTAGCTGATGACCACGGCAGTCACAGCTGCCCGGTTCCGCAGGCACCTGCAAACACAGCGAATGATTTCTCAAAACTGTTTCTCTGTGGAAATTGGGATTTTAATTTATGGTATTTTTTCAATTTTTTGTTGTATGTTGTATAAGTTTAATGTTGAATTAAGGAACAAGAGTACGTTTATGGCCTGCGAACCCGACTTCTGGTTCCAGTGTTTGGGGACATGGTGACAGCAGTCACCGCTACCGGGCAGTTTCCGCACCTCCCCGTGCCATGTCAGGCGTTAGGGGCGTGACTTGAGGCTCGCAGCACTTCCTGTGGGCTCTAGGAATGTCATGTGATTTCCGGAGATCTCCCTGCCACTTCCATGGCCGTGCAGCGGGGAAAGCGTGCCGGCTCGTCTCCCTGCAGTCCGGCGAGTGCGTCCACAGAGGTGACAGCTGTGAGTGGGGCACGCTCCATTTGTGCTGCTCCAAGGTCGCCCCTCACAGCTCCGCCGCTGCCCCAGCTCCCCTCCAAGCCCTGCTGTCCCTTCCGGGGGTCTAGGTGGCTATGCTGACCCAGGCTGGTGACCTACAGAGGCAGGTTCTGCCTCTCAGCCAGTCACACGACCCTGCTGCTGCTGTGCCTGCATTCCAGGCTCTGGGGTCTGCCATCCGCCTCCGCAGGTGGCCGTGCGCACAGGACGGAGCCGCTATGCCAGGCGCTCCGGGGGACAGCCCACGGCACGGCGCCCGACCTGCAGGGGAGGAGAGCAGGGACCCTCAGGGCAAGACCGGAGCTCAGGTTTCGTTCCAAAAAGTTAAGCTGGAGCGACGCGAAATGTATTTCTGTGCCTGTAATTCCACGACGAACACGGAAGTGATGGTTCTGTAGTAACCTGACCACAAGGATGGACCATTTCACAAAGAGCAAAGATGGGGAGTCTTCCTTATTTTCGGTAGTTATAAGGAGAGCACAGTGACTCTTTAAGAGGTTGGTGAAATGTAATCGTGATTTTTCAGAATGAAAAAATAAGGGACTTATATAGCAGTGTTTGTTATTTGCTAGTAAGAAGTGGACCAGATGGGTTGCGTGCACAGTGTTCCCCTTGGGGGGTGTGTGTGCACAGTGCTCCTCTGGGTGAGTGTTAGGGCAGTTAAAGAGCCGATTGACTTGGTGACAGTTGATGGTGACTTGCTTTGAGCAGAGGTACAACCTCCACTGTGTTAGCCCCACAGGGGTTGTGTTGGCCACCGTAAGAGGTAGATTTTGGCCTTTCGTGCCTTTTTGTGATGTAAATTAGGGTCTCTGTCATGATCCGGGATGCTTGCACGCATGTGGGAGTGGGTGTGAGCTGAGGGCCGCTTGCACGGGGAGACAGAGTGCCACCTCCTTTAGTCGGCTGTCCCAGCGGTCTCTCTGCTGAGGCTTTGACCCATTTGTGGACAAACAGAAGTCAGTGGCTGAACACACCGTGTGCCTTCTCCTTGCTTCCCGTCTTCGGAGATGAGAATATGCTAGAAAAACTCAAGAAGGTGTGAAGAAAGGGCGAGGTCTAGGGGACCGAGTTTATTTAATTCATCGCTGAGTGACTCAGTGCTATTCCATGGCTGCTTGTTCTGTGGCAGGGCTGGGCAGCCTGGGGCTGCTGCGACCAGACCCATGAGGTCCCCAGGGCCGAGGGGTGGCAGCGGGTAGGCACGTCAGGGAGGGTGCTTCTTAGTGAAGGCAGATCAGGTGATCAGGTGACAGGCTGTGGGAGGGGCCACACAAGGCCTCTGTGACAGAAAGGGCCCAGGACATAAGTGGGGTCTGTCAGCACTGAGACAGGAACCACCCCGGCAGCAAACCTGCCAGATGGTGACCATCAGCAGCCGGGCCTGCCCGCACCTCCCGTGGGTGTAGCAGGGGTGCTGGAAGACTCGTGCCTCTGAGCATGAGCCTCCTGCCCGTCCTGGCTGGTCATGGAACCGTCGCTGCCCTGTTCCACGGCCTCAGCTCGGTTTGCGCCATGCCAGGCCTGTCGGAAACGCGCGTGAGAACTTGCAGCACGGGCCTGCTCGTCTCCGCGGCTGCAGACGTAGCAGGTCTGGTGAGCGAGCCACCTAAACGTGTCGACGCTTCTGAGGGCGGTCTTCTTTTCAGCTAACGTGTGCGTAGTGAAGGTGGACGGCGCCCCGTATCTGTGTAAAGCCGACGAGGTTGGGGAGATATGTGTGGATTCCAGTGCGACCGGCTCGGCGTACTACGGACTGCTCGGGGTCACGAGGAACGTCTTTCAGGTTTGTGCTTTCAGCCGACGGTGAGTCCCCCGGGCATTGAGCGTCGGGGCGGCGCCGTGGGCAGCAGGCGGTGCCCTGGCTTCTCAGCTGGGTCGTCTCACGGTCAGGCGCCTGCAGCCATAATGAGATTGAGGCCAGCACTCTGCGTGCTACAGCTGTCGGGGTGTCAGGAGAGCCCAGTGAGCACCCACATGCTGAGCCAGGGCCTGGGAGCAGTGGTGAAGCAGAAGCAGGGATATGGGCCCACCGGGGGCCCACCGGGCGTGGAGCGAGGGCCCCTCATCAGCATGCAGACTCGGCCCTGGGCAGCCTCCGCCCCTCGGCAGATACAGTCGCCCCCCAGGGCCACACCCTGGCCCACGGGTCCCATTGGCGGGATGGGTGGCTATCTGCGAGCCACAGCCTGACCACCGCCCGCTCCACGCAGACTGCCCCGCTGACTGCGGCAGGAACGCCCATCTCCGACAGGCCCTTCACCCGGACGGGGCTGCTGGGCTTTGTCGGCCCTGTGAGTAGTCCCACGCAGGGCCCGCGCCCCCCGGGACAGTGCTCAGCCCCGGATCTCACCCTGCCTCCAGCCCGTCAGCATTCAGTGCCCTTGCCCAGCTTTGCCCACAACTGTGCTCCCACCTCCAGCCCCCAATGCCCCTGGGCCCCCACCCGAGCCCACCAGCCTGTGGGACCCCTCCCTCCCACGGTTGCCCTGGCCCCAGCTTCGGTGTCGCCCTGGGCATGGGCCCAGTTTCCATGTGCCCTCAGTTCCTCGTGGCTGGGCCTGCCCGCGTGGCCTGCGTCCCGACCAGTGCCCTTGTCCTCAGGATGACCTGGTCTTCGTCGTGGGCAAGCTGGAAGGGCTGATGGTGGTGGGGGTTCGCAGACACAACGCGGACGACGTGGTGGCCACTGCGCTGGCCGTGGAGCCCATGAAGTTCGTCTACAGAGGCAGGTGATGCGCTGTGGCCCTCCGCACTCCAGGCTGGCCGTCTGCCCGCAGCGGAAGGCAGGCCCGGGACTGGAGCCCGAGCGTCCTGCTCATCAGAGGGGCCTCTCTAGGAAAGGGCAGCGTTCACGGCAAGCGCGGCAGAGTTAGTGTCCTCGCTGTCCCCAGAGCCGTGCAGCTCTTGAAGGGGATGGGACCCAAATGTACCAGTGGGCACAGGGGCCACATGCACGGCCACACACACTGGGACCCCGAGCTCTGTGTCCCCCAAAACCCCCAGAAGCCGAGTCTCCCTTCTCCTAGGGCTGTGCAAGACATGGAGACCCCACCTTGCTCCTGGGGACAGTCAGTTCACCTTTCTGGCTGTCGGGCAAGCACTTGACAGACTTTCGTTCCCCCTGAGCTGATACATGGACCCCTGGCCTGATACAAGGTCCCGTCCGGCCCCCGAGCTCCTTGTCATGGGGACCTGCGCCCTGGTGCTGGTTGGCCACTCAGGGCGCGGCATCTTCCAGCCTTGTTCTTCTCAGGAAGTGCTTTCGTTGCTTGGACTGGGTACCTGTGAGCCCGGCCGGACCCTTCCTCTGAACAGATCTTAAAGGAGCCACAGGGGTTTCTGCCTGATGGAGCGTCAGCACGGCCTGCTGCCTGTGCCCAGTCAGGGTGACAGGCGTGGGGTAACCATCCGGGAGAAACCAGCAGGGCAGGCCTGTGGGTGCACACAACCTGGTGTGTCCTAGGTGCCACCGCCTGTCCTCACAGCAGAAACCAGCAACACTGCCAGTGCGAGTGTCCACGGGGTGACGTCAGAGCAGCCGCAGCTCTCTGGGGTGGACCTCAGAGACTAGCTGCCTCCTTGCACGGCCACCAGAAGCTGATGGGGCCTGGGAGTGAAGGCCCTGCTCAGAGTGCGCCAGCCCGGGCAGTCGGCTGGGTGTGGGGCAGTGGCTCCCTGTCCCCACCAGGGACAAGCTTGAGGACCACAAGCATCCCAGTAGAGAACCACAGCCCGCTGAGTGTGTGTGCCACTGGGATGTTAGCAACATGACATGAGCTGAAGAAACCACCAGAAACCATTGTTCCACAAAGAGCAGGACAGACGGCATGGGCCGCAGGGCAGACGCAGCCAGGGAAAGACTGGATAAGCTGGGGATTGAGATTGAGGGACCATCCAGAGGTGAATGGGACGTTTGGAAGAAACGTGGGGAGAGATGGGGAGAGAGGAGAGTTAAAAATACCGTTCGTGGAACTCGTAGGCAGAAGTGTTTGCACAATCAAGGAGATTTTCTCTTAGCCACATGCCGGGTGTTTTTACTTCGCGTGAAGTCCCCTCTGCTTCCGCGAGTTGGCGCACCAGTGAGTTTCAGCCACGGTTGGGGGGACTGGTGACCGGTGGCTCTGTAACTTCTCAGCAGGCAGCCCCTGTCGCGTTGGCCGTAAACACTAGCACTTCGGCATCTTCCATTCAGGCGAGAGGGATGCCCTTTGCCCGGTGGTCATTTTTGTCCTCATCCTCAGGATCGCTGTGTTCTCGGTGACGGTGCTGCATGACGACCGGATAGTGCTCGTGGCGGAGCAGCGGCCAGACGCCTCTGAGGAGGACAGCTTCCAGTGGATGAGCCGTGTGCTGCAGGTAGGCGCGGGGCCCGCTCTTCGTCCAGCCTGCTGTCGCCGTGCAGGTCGGGCGCGTGCTCGTGCCTGCGGCTCCCCAGCCCGTCCCTCCCACCTGCTCGGGGTCTGGCAGCCGTCATGGTTCTGGAGCGTCCAGTCGCCCTGTGCTCGCCTACGGGGTAGGGCTGAGCCTCTTGGCTTGCAGAACCCCCCCCCCCAACACACACAGCCCCTGCACACAGGAGGCACTAAGCAAGCTGGCTCGTGACGATGCGGGAACAGTGGCTTGAAGGCACGTGACACCACACAGGAGTTAGTGCGTCCTTGTTATCTGATGCCAGTCCCAAAAGCTGCGGTCAGGCAGAGGCTTTAAAACGCAGACGCCTGGACGCAGACTGGCCGGCCCGGGGCGGACTGGACACGCACACAAGCCCGCCTCTGCGCCCGCGGCCCTTGACGATTCACTGCGGATCTGGCAAGCTCTGCCGTGAGTCCCGAACGCCCACTCTCTGGGTCCCGCTGTGGCTGCAGGCCCTGCCGGCCTGGGACGCGCACTACTCAGGGCGGGCATGCCGTCCCCTTCCCCCAGCATGTCCACATTCGCATCTTTGCATGTCGAGCTGGAGCTCAGCGTGTGTTCTTTGGTGGGAACGGGCAGCATTCGTGAGTAGACAGGTAGACGAGTGGCTCAGCAAGGGTGTCCCTCAGCTTTACCGAACATGACTTGGGTATGGAACGAGCCCGTTTTTAAGTGGCAGGTGACGAGTTCTGACACGTGAGTAATTAGGATAGGGAATTCCCACTGTCCCAGCGGGTTCTCCCGTGTCCCTGTGTGGTCAGTCCCCAGCCCCGCCTGCACCCCGCCTGCCCAGCCCCAAGACCCTCCAGTGGCTCTGCATCACTGCGGACGATGTGCTTCCTGAGGGGTCACAAGTGTCCCCCCCCACACCGCCTGTATCCGTCAGTGTAAAGCTGGACCCGCGTGCTGCCACATGGACCAGCTCACCCTTCTCATTGCTGAGTTGGGTTCCTTTGAGTTTCCTCACATCCTGGTGGACGTTTGGGCTGTTATTACCAGAGGACAAATCTCCAGGTGGATTTCAGTTCTAGCCACTCTTCAGGGATAGTCTGTGGTGTCCCGACACCTCCGGGTCCATGGTGTACTGTTGGCGCAGCCACAGCCACCTGAGAAAGGACACTAGTGCAGAATAAGCACAGTCCAGGAAGCTGTCTCCACGTCACTGGCCCAGGGAGCCCCATGCTTCAGAGGGAGGAGTCACGACATTTATTTTTTACAGAAGTCTTTATGTTTTCTTTTGGGCTATTTCTAGTACACCATACACAAAAAAAGATGAGTAGAATGACCCCGTTCCATCACTCTGCTGCAACAGTTGTCCACCTGGGGCTATGCGCGCCCCACTTGTCCACCCCCTTCTCCCTCGGGGGCATTTTGAAGCAAAGACCAGACGTCACGTCATTTCCTCTGTGAAGATGTTAGTATTTATTTCTCATATAAGAAGAAATACCATGATCACAGCTTAAAAATTAACAATGATTTTTTTTAATTTTTGTTTATGGAGGGAGCGATTGACATAGTTGTATCAGTCCAGGGTGGACAACGCAGCGACCCGACGTTTGTCCGTGTTGTGGCGTGGCCCCCACCGTGCGTCTGGTAGCATCACCGCCCACACTCACGAAGCCCTTGTTCTTGCGACGAGAACGTCTAAGGCCCACTCTCTAGCAGCTCCCAGGCACAGAGTGCGGCGTGTGCCCTGCAGCCACGCGCTCTGCGTCACACCCAGGACTGACCGCCCTTGGCGCTGGCAGTCGTGCCTTTTGACCCCACCCCCCCCCGCCCCCGGCTCTTGTGACCGCCAGGCCGTTTCCCGTATCCACGAACTCAGCCGTTTTGATTTGTTTTGCTTTTTAAATTTCACGTGTAAGTGAGATCGCGTGGTATTGTCTTCCTCGGTCTGACTTATTTCACTTAGCATGACGCCCTCTGTGACCGTCCGCGTTGCAGGTGACAAGATCGCATCCTTTCTGTGGTTGAATAATAGTCCATCGTGTGTATGTCCCACTCCTTTACCCGCTCGTCCGTCAGTGGACACTTCGGTCGCTCCCGTGTCTCGGCTGTCGTAAATAATGAACACAGGGGTGCATATGTCTTTTCGAATTACATCGTTTTTGTTTCCTTTAGTTAAATACTCAAGAGTGGAATTGCTGGGTCACGTGGTTGGAAGAGCCTCTATACTGTGTTCTGTAGTGGCTGCACCACTTGGCAATCCCACCCACAGTGCTCGAGGGCCCCCTTTTCTCCGCATCCTCAGCAACGCTTGTTTGTCGATTTACTGATCATAGCCATTCTGACGGGTGTGAGAGGGCATTTCACTGTGGATTGACTTTGCATTTCCTGATGATTAGTGACGTTGAGCATCTTTTCACGTATCTATTGGCCACCTGTGTGTCCTCTCTAGGAAAATACCTATTCAGATCTTCTGCCCACTTTTTAACTAGACTGTCTGGGGGAGTTGTATACTGTTGAGTTGTTTGAGTTCTTTACATATTTTGGATCTTATCCCCTTATCAGATACATGTTTCCTCCCATTCCGTAGGTGGCCTTTTCATTCACTGACGGTTCCCTTTGCTGGTCAGAAGCTTATTAGTTCAATCTGGTCCCACTTGTTCATTTTTTATTTTGTTGCCTTTGCTTTTGGTGTCAAATTCAAAAAATTATCACCAAGACTCACGTCAAGAAGGTTACCACCTGTGTTTTCTTCTAGGGGTTTTATGGTTTCGGGTCTTACGTTCAAGTCTTTAATCCATGGAAGTTCATCTTTGTGCAAGGTTTAAGATAGGGGTCTAGATTCATGCTTCTGCGTGTGGCTGTCCAGTGCTCCCAGCACCGTTTGCTGGCGAGGCTGCCCTTCCCCGTCGTGTGCTCCTGGCTCCTTCGTCATGAGTCGGTCGGCCGTCGGTGTGTGGGTTCATTTCTGGGCGCTCTGTTCCGTCCCGCTGGTCTGCGTGTCTGTGTTTCTGCCAATACCGTGCTTTGTGTTACAGTTTAAAATCAGGAATGTGATGCCTCCAACTTTGATCTTCTTTCTCAAGCTTGCTTTGGCTATTTGTCTTTTGTGGTTCCGTCCAAATTTTAGGATTGTTGGTTCTATTTTTGCGAAAAATGCCATTGGCATTTTGATGGGGATTGCAGTGCGTATGGAGATGGCTTTGGGTGGTGGGCATTTTGACAGCATCTTTCTGATCCATGAGCACAGACTGTCTCTCCATTTGAGTCTTCAGTTTCTATCATCAGCGCCTTACAATTCTCAACATACAGGTCCTTGATGTTCTTGGCTGAGTTTATTCCTAGATATTTTATTCTTTTCGATGTAGTTGTAAGTAGAATGGCTTTCTGAATTTCTCTTTCCGGTAGTTATTAGTGTATGGAAAAGCAACAGGTTTTTGTATATTGCTTTTATAGCCTGAAACTTTGCTGAAATCATTTATTATTTCTAATAGTTTTTTCGTGGAGTTTTCAGAATTTACTGTATATAATATCATGACATCTTCAAGTAGAGAAAATTTTACTTTTTCTTTTCCAATTTGGCTGCCTTTTGTTTCTCTTTTCTTTCTTTACCTTGCCTGATTGCTGTGGCTAGAACTTCCAGTACGAGGTTGAATAAAGTGGGGAGAGCGGGCGTCCTGTCTGGTCCTTGGTCTCAGAGGACAAGCCTCCAGCTTCTCGCCATCGCATGTGCTGTCGGCTGCGGGCTCCTCAGGCCTTTGCACGTTTAGGTTTGTTCACTCCGTACCCACTTTGTTGAGAGTTTTTGTCATAACAATAATTTTTGACGTAATTAAATATCTAGTCGCTATTCAGATTTCCCTGATTATCTGATGTCTAGTTTGTTTGTTAGACTCGAGATCCAAATGAGGTAAAAAATCGCCCTTGGTTAGAACAGGTCTCGAGTCTTTTTTAATCTGTAGACTCCTACATCGTGAATCTGTGCTGCTAGCTTCACCACAGACTCGAGACCACAGGGTCCCAGCTCACCTCACTGGTGTTCCGTCTCCCAACTGAGCCGGCAGGATCGCCCGTCTCCTGGGGCCAGCGCACACTGCAGTCTCAGGTGACGCTCCGTGCTCAGCCTCGGCCTCAGAGCAGACTTCGAGAGCAGCATAGCTTGGTTTTCACTCCTTTTGCCAGCAGGTCGCGGTGTTCGGCCCCCTTGGCTCCCTCTGTGGGCCACACCACCAGCCTGGTTCCGGTTTGGTCGAGGTCATTTGTCCCACTTTGCTTCTGGTCGTTAGGGAGTGCTTTTTAAAGTTCTGAGTGCTTCGCGTATAAAGTATACACATGGCTCCAGAGTTAAGTCTGGGAGCGGGGCATCCTCAGAGGGGTCCAGCTTCTGCCCCGCTGCTCACCGCTTCTCCCGCAGGAAGCCGCCTCACACGGCCTGTGTGATGTCTGACTGTCCACGTTTCAATGCAAGCGGTTACAGACTTGTGACCATGTGTACCCAGACGTGTGTGTGTGCGCGCGCGTGCGTGTGTGTGTGTGATGCTAGAGAAAGTGTACACGTCTCTCTTTCTGGTTTTCTTATTTAACAAAATGTCCCCGAGGGCACCCTGTCGCCCTGAGCTCTGGTTGGAATGTCCTCACTCAGTGAGCCGCCCAGCCTTCAGCGACTCAGCGGCCTGCAGTCGGCCAGCACATGCTCCAGTGCTGCTGTCAGCCAGCGGGCCTCAGACACAGCCCCTGCTGCCCTGTGTCCTCCCTCCAGGCCATCGATGGCATCCACCAGGTGGGCGTGTACTGTCTGGCCCTGGTTCCCGCCAACAGCTTGCCCAAGGCTCCTCTCGGCGGGGTTCACATCTCCGAAGCCAAGCAGCGCTTTCTGGAGGGGACGCTGCACCCATGCAATGTGCTAATGTGCCCTCACACCTGCGTCACCAACCTTCCCAAACCTCGCCAGAAACAGCCAGGTTAGTCGTGCGTCACGGCCGTAAACGGGGGGCAGCCACACTCAGGGCCGAACGGTGCTGGTTCAGGTAACAGCGCCGGTGCCGGTGTGGGGCAGACCCCCCAGCCCCTCACACAGCCCCACCGCCTCCTAGAGGTCGGTCCTGCCTCCATGGTCCTTGGGAATCTGGTCTCTGGGAAGAGAATTGCACAGGCCTCGGGGCGGGCGCTGGCTCACCTGGAGGACAGCGACCAGGCAAGGAAGGTAAGGGCCCAGCGCCGGGCGGGTGAGGGGGCGCGTCTCGGGGGAGGCAGGTGAGGGTCATGTCTGGGGGGGGCGGGTGAGGGGCGTGTCTGGGGGGCGGCTGAGGGGCACATCTCCCCGGGGGGTGGGCGAGGGGGCTCTGAGCCGCGTCACCTCTGCCAGTTCCTGTTCCTGCCGGACGTGCTGCAGTGGCGGGCCCACACCACTCCCGACCACCCGCTCTTTCTGCTGCTGAATGCCAAGGTGAGCATCACCTCGCAGGGTGCTCAGGGCTGGGAGCAGGCACTCTGCCCGGCCCCGTGCTGACGCCCTGATCACTTGCCTAGGGCACGGTCACAAGCACAGCGACCTGTGTCCAGCTGCACAGAAAGGCTGAGAGAGTGGCCGCCGCTCTGACGGAGAAGGCGAGGCTGAGCGTCGGGGACCATGTGGCCTTGGTCTATCCCCCAGGTGAGCACACCCAGCCGCGCCAGACTCACCTCGCCCCTCCCGTGCGCCACGCGGGACCCCGGTGGGCTGCTGGCTGTGGTCCTGCACCACTGCTGCCCAGACGGCCGAGCTCCCAGACTCAGCGTGGGGTCCTGCAGCACGGTAGCCTCGTCCCCAGCCCCGTGTCACTCGTTGGAACGTTGGCGCTGGCTGCCGTCGTCCTCGCGCCATTCTCCCCTCTGTGCTGCTGTGACGAAGCAAACAGCCTGTCCCCACCCCCAGCTCCTCCGCCCCCAACCAGCCTCCGTCCTGACCTCTGGAGCCCTCGTTTCTTTGTGACATGACCCCCAGACATCGCGGTGTGGTTTCGATGCCGTTTTGGGGTCTAATCTCCAGGCTCTGTCTTCCCTCCCGTCCTTGCGGCCGCGTGGCCCTGCCGTTTCCCACGGTGGGTGCTGCGAGCGTCCCTCAGGGGGTGCGTCCCTGGGCGCCACGGCTCTCGCAGGCGCAGCGCAGACACGGGGCCGACGCGGGTTCCAGTGCCTCGCCGGTCGCGGGATTGGGCCGCTGCATCGGAAGCCACGCGTTGAGTGGGCTCTGGTGGCGTTGGCGGCCACTGTGCATCAAGTCCGTCGGGAGTGGCTGAAGTGTTCTGTTCTGTGCGGTTTCTGTGGAATGAATTTTGTTTCCTAACATGCTCCAGGAAGCAACCTACAAACCCATGGGTCTAAGCATATTTTGCGAGCTTCATTCCTTTGCAGTTTTTCTTTATTGAAGCTCAGATTGCCCCATCTTTGGCCAAAGGAGCGTCTTCTGTGGCTCTGCGAGTCTTTTGGATGTGGCATTTCGTCCCTGGAGGCCTCCTCGCAGTGGGTGGGCCTGGCTGCCCCAGGCCCATCCGCGCCTGTCCTGCCCCCGACCTGCAGTCAGCCATCTCCCCACGGAGCTGTCCCGGTGCTGCGGGGCGGAGTCCGGGCAGGAGGGCGCTCGCTTCTGGGTCGCTGCCGTCTGTGGCCTTCCAGCCAGCAGCGTCCGAGTCTCAGCTGCCGTCAGGGCTCCGAGAGCCAGCTCCTCCTGCGTCCACACTGCACCGCACAAGTTTGGGATGACAGGGCCTTTGTGAAATCGTCTGTGTCACAGCACATTCTCCCGAGTCCCGACTCTGCAGGACAGGACAGAGTGGGATTCAGATTTGTCAGGCACTCCGTGTCTTGCGTCATGCGTGGCGTTCCCAAATCAGCAGCCATGACACTGTGACCCCGGCCTGATGTGCGAAGCACTTCAGTTGCCACACACTGGCCGTCCCCACCCCTCCCACGGCGTCCGTCCCCCTCCCTGTGGCGCTGACAGCCCGTCGTCTGGGGCTGGTTCTGTCGTCAGCCCCCTGGAGGCTTGTGGCGCCATCCGAGTCCTTGCTTGCTGGCAGCAGTGTGTGCACGCTGAAGTGGAAATTCGCTTTTGCTGCATAAAGACTCCCTGACGTGTGTTTCTTTCCCGAGCATCTTACGTCTGTTCCTGCATTTCCTCCTGGCCTCGCACGTCCCGTCTGACGAGAACCTGGTTTTCTCTTGCGAGACTCTCGCTGTTTTTTGCCCAGGTGCGAAAAGGAAGTTTTTCCTTTTCTGAAAGTCCAGGATGCAGGCGACACTGGTTGCTGTGGGCCGGTGTTGTCACGTCGGAGGGAGGTCCCCTCAAACAGGCAGCTTCCGTCTCCTCGGTTTCGAGGCAGTTTCCCCGCCGAGTGTCCCGCTCCGACCGTCTCCGTGCTCCCCGTGCCCATGTGCCGGATCCGTGTCCAGCAGCCGTCGTTTCCTGTCAGGTTTCTGCTGCTCAGGGCTTCGGGCCTCCCCTCCCCGTCGGCCCCTGGAGCTCCCTCTGCGGCCCTCACTCCCTGCTGCGCCGCCCCCGCCGTCGTCTTCGGTTTGGAAACGAGTTTCTGTGGTTTCTAGTTCTTCTCTCATTTCTTCCTTTTTTTCTAATTCTGTTTACTGTTATTTATGGTTCGTATCCCCTTCTTACAGTATTTTAGCACATTTAAAAGTCGTTTCCATCCGTCGTCTGCCTTGTGACTTTGTGGGGCCGTGACTCGTGGTGGCAGCTTTCCGAGGTCTCCTGACTGTGTCCCCGACTCCACTCAGCCTGACCTGTCCCTGCTCTCGTGTCCACACTGCCTGACGCGCCCCCCGCTTCCAGTGTCTCTTCCAGTGGGGGGCCCTGCCTGCTGTTGGGGTGAATCGCTGTTCTCCAGCCTCCCCAGCGAACAGTGGGGGAGCAGTGTTCTCGCTGCCCCACTGTCCCAGCTGTCCGGCCAGACCCACAGTTCTGGAAACACAGCGCCGGCCATCTCCCCGGTCAGCCTGTCTGATCTCAGTCAGTCCAGGGTGACTGTAGCCCCCACGTACGAGGACTCGGGGAGCACCCCGGCGTACGGCGGGCATCACCCTGAGAGGCGGTGCCAGGCTGGGGATGCTGGCTGCAGTCCCCCCTCCCCGGGCCCCTCGCCATCCATACTGCAGGAGCTGAGAGCCCGGGAGGACGGGCGTTCCGGGCTCAGGGCCCGGGCTGCAGGCACGTGACACGCAGGAGGTACTTGGGGACGGGCGAGGCTGTTGCGAACGCTTCAGAGCAGGAGGAGGAAACAACGGGGACAGTGCAGCGAGCGTCTGAGGGACACAGGGGCCGACGCGCCTCTACTTCAGGGCACGTTGACGCTGCTGGTGGAGATGTACTCAGAAGCGCGGGGCGCACGGTGGAGTTCCGAGTTCACGCTGGGACGCTGGCTATAGGCGGGAAGCAGACGGGTGGGTGGGCCCCGGGCCGCAGTGGCACAGGCCCTCCGCAGGGGAACAGGGAGTGCGCGTTGCTGGTTTCTTGGGGTGAGTCCAGGACTGTCTTCTGATTTTGAAAGCGGTGTGCAGGAGGCGCAGGAGGGTGCAGGCTGGTGGGAGCCCCCCAGGGAGCCAGCGTGGCGGCAAGTGCTGTGCGAGCTCGCGGAATGAGCGCTTGCCGACGCCTCTTTCTCGCGCAGTTTGGCAGTGTCTGCGGCACGTTGGCAGAGTGACCATGCTGGGCTGAACACTCGCACGGCTGGCTGTGTGTGTGCCGCCCTCAGTGTGGCCCGCGGGCAAGGCCAGGTGGACGTCCCGGAGCAGCGCTGGGGTGCAGCCTGGCCCGCCGGTGCACTCAGGTCCCTGCGCGTGACTGCGCCGAGCTGCCCCTGCCCCAGTGGCCACGTGGCCAGTTCCCGATGGAGCACTGGGACCTGCAGTCTGGGGAAACCCAGGGATGGGGTTAAATGCAGCAGGCTCCTCGAGACTCTGGAATCGAAGTCTCCCAGGGGCCGATGTCCTGTGGCCCGAGGGTGCCAGGCGAGCCTTGTCTGAGTTGAGGGCGACTCCAGCGAGGCCTCCAGGGTGTGGGGCACGGCTGCTCTCAAGTCAGATGAGTTCAGGACGGGCCGACAGGTTCCAGGTGTGGGGCGGTCCCGGGGGCGGGGGCTGCAGGCCCACAGGGAAGGTGCAGAGCAGTGCCGGGAGCCACATGGCGTTGTGTGGTGGGGAGCAAGGTGCGGTGTCCGGGCCTCCCCGCAGACCACAGCTGCTCCCTGAGAGGCCCCCGGCCACAGCTGTGCGCCGTGTTGCTGCCCTGGGCGCGTGTCCGTGTCCCCTCCGTGGTGGACAGCTTGCCCCTCAAAGATTTCCTCATCGTGCTCGTGGGGTGAGCCCCATGTCTGCATCGCACCCGGGGTGGTGGTCAGCTCGCTGCCCCCTGAAACCCAGGCCGCACCCCTCCGCCCTCGTGGGCCTTGCGGGTTTGCGGGCAGTGTCGCTGCCCCAGGCGGCTCCTGGCCTCCCGCCTGCCGTGCCACCAGTGCCTCAGCAGGTGGGCCGTGCTGTCCGTCTCCCTAGAGTAGGTCACACCCTCTTGAGTTTCCTGCCATTCTGCAGCACGAGACGAACCTGCGCCTGACCCCGTGCTCACTGTCTGACTCTGTCCCCAGGGGTGGACCTCATCGCCGCCTTCTACGGATGCTTATACTGTGGCTGCGTACCCGTCACCGTGCGGCCCCCGCACCCCCAGAACCTCGCCACCACGCTTCCCACCGTCAAGATGATCGTGGAGGTGTGCGCGCTGTGGGCCCCCCACCCCCGGGCTCCGGCGGGCTCCCCAGGGCCCAAGTCTCACTGCCCCCGGCCCCTGCTGCAGGTCAGCAAGTCCGTGTGCGTCCTCACCACGCAGGCCATCACGCGGCTGCTCAAGTCCAAGGAAGCCACGGCCACCGTGGACATCAGGACCTGGCCGACCGTCCTGGACACGGGTGCGTGTGCTCGACGCCCCCAGACGGCCCTGTGTCCTCCGCTGCCTCTGCCAGAGAGGGCTGGGCGAGAGCAGCTAAGGAGCGTGGTGAGGGGGCTGCAGAAACGGGCCCTGGCAGCTGCACTCCTGGTGGCCAGTGGCCACCTGCTGGGGCCAGCACACAGCTCACAGGGTCCCTCAAGCACGTCTGTGCCCGTGGGGAGCAGAGATCCTCGTCTGAGGCCTGTGAGCCTGTGGCCTCTCATGTCCCCACTGTGGTGGCACACACTCTCATCGCTCCTCCCGCCACTGGGCAGTGCTGCCACACCCCACACACTGCTCGTGGGAGAACAGGAAGGGCTGAGAACCTCTGCTCCCTGTGCCTCGTCCCGTCGCGTCAGCCTGGGGCTGAGTTTCTCCCCCACAGGAGATACCGCAAACAAGCAGCACCTAGCCGGCTCCTTGGTGACTCAAGGTGCACGGCCACTTGGGTGCCAGCCAGTGAGCAGACAGGAGTCCCTTCTTGCCAGTCTCACCTGGAGGACACATGTCCTTGGCTCCCAGGTGCCGCCCCTGAGAGGCAGTCAGGGGCTGTGCTGTTGGTGCCTGCCCGACACCTTCGGCAGGCGAGGGGGCATGTCCATGGCGCCCTTGCTGCAGCCGAACTCGTGCATCCTGGCTCACCCAGGCTCCGTCATCTGCATGTGGCTCTAACTCCCACTGGTGAACAGAGCGTGCCCCTTCCTGCCCACTGTCACCGTCCCACACGCCCACGCCTCAGGGCAGGTCCGCACCGCATGACATCCCCCTGAAGGTTGAAGTGAGCGTCCCTTGCACACGCACAGGCAGCACTCCCCGCAGCCCAGCCTCTGTCCGAGTGCCCCAGTAAGAGCCGCACCTCACCTGTGAGAGCCTGATGAGTGTCTTCTGTTCAGCAGACGACATACCGAAAAAGAAGGTGGCTAGTGTGTTCAGGCCACCCTCCCCGGACGTGCTCGCCTACCTGGACTTCAGCGTGTCGACCACAGGCATCTTGGCGGGCGTGAAGGTGGGTCCTCTGATCACAGCCCCGACACGGGGTGGGCAGAGGGTCTGGGTGTGGGTGTCTGCAGGCCCTGCCTCCCCTGCAGCCTGAACGGCAGGATTGCTCCTTAGAGGTAACCCTGGGCTTAGGTCAGCCTCAGAGCAGTGCACGTGCTGCTGTCATAAGGTGACGTCTAACCTTCCGGATTCATGGCTGGCTGGCCTGAGGAGCAGCTGGCTTTGGGCAGTCCACCCCCGTGCCAGGAGCCACGTGCTCCATTAAAATTCCTGATTGTCCTGAAGCTTCATTCAGGAGGTCTTTAGTGCCACTGCCTGGCATTGCCGGTTCACGTGGGGATCTGACCGCCACCCTGTATGGGGGTGACCGTCTCTGGCCTCTAAGGACCAGTGACCCTTCCCTTCCTGCGCCCACTGAGTAGCCCGTGTTCTTTACTCCCTGAGATGTCGCATGCAGCCACCAGTGCCTTGTGCCGCTCCATAAAGCTGCAGTGTGAGCTGTACCCCTCGAGGCAGATCGCCATCTGCCTCGACCCCTACTGTGGCCTCGGCTTCGCCCTGTGGTGTCTGTGCAGGTGAGTGCCTGCATGCGGAGCATACAGACGAGTGCGCAGGTGAGTGTGCAAGAATTGCACCCCGCTGCACCCACCTGCTGGGTTGGAATGTCGAGTAGTTCTTTCGAACCTAATGCTCTAAGACACATTTTGGATGCCGGGAAGCCAAAGATACACACGTGAGTGGGATCGTTTGGCGGTGGGGTGGGTTTGAGTCTGGGCCTAAGGTTGAGTGGAAAAGTAAACACGTTTTTCATTAAATACAAACGCTGTTCATGGGTGAGGCCTTGATCCCATCAGATACTAGGAAGTGGTAGCAGGTCGTCAGACGCAGAGGGGGGGCGGCCACACTGTGACTGCAGACCGTCTGATGTTCGGAGGCGGGTAGGGGACTCACTGGGCGTTCCGGGGAGCAGTCCCCCAGTTCTGGGCGGCGCCTGGGTGGAGCCTCGCGGATGACCTGACCTTCGACCCCACAGTGTCTACTCAGGACACCAGTCTGTGCTGGTGCCTCCACTGGAGCTGGAGAGCAACGTGTCCCTGTGGCTGTCCGCCGTGAGCCAGTACAAGGCCCGCGTCACCTTCTGCTCCTACTCAGTGATGGAGCTGTGCACCAGGGGCCTGGGCGCGCAGACCAGCGTCCTCAGGGTGAGTCCCTATGGCCGTCCGCCCATGGTCCCCTCAGGAGGCGCCCAACCAGGAGCTTCTAGGTGCACTCCAAACGACCACTGGAATCTATAAACTCCACACAGGTGGTGGCAACAGAAAACCCTTTTTAGGCGCAGAGCCCTGCCAGCTCCAGTCCCTCCCCAGCCCCGCCCTGCAGGGAGCTCCTCCTTCCAGTCCGCACCCTTAGTCCCTGCAGCTCCGGAGGGAGAGGAGGGTGTGGTGTGGGCAGGGATATTGGGGGGCGGGCCCTGAGGACCTGGAGCGGGGCAGGCGGGGACCCTCTTAGTGTTTGAGGCCAGAGCCCATGGAGGCGGATGGCTTTGTGTCCCGGCCTTGCTGCGCTCATACCCGCAGAACCGAGCGTCGCCTCCTCCCCTCGGGAACCCCAGGACGTTGCTCAGGCCCCGCCCCACCTCCTCCCACAGATGAAGGGGGTGAACCTGTCGTGCGTGCGCACGTGCATGGTGGTGGCCGAGGAGCGGCCCCGGATCGCGCTGACTCAGTCCTTCTCCAAGCTGTTCAAGGACCTGGGCCTGCCCGCGCGGGCCGTCAGCACGACGTTCGGGTGCAGGGTCAACGTGGCCATCTGCCTCCAGGTGAGGGGCCCGGGCCAGCGCCGGCTCTGAGTCGTCCCTGTGGTGTGCATCGTCTTGCCACCGCCACCTTCTGTTCTCTGCGCCTTCCATGTTTGATTTCCAGGTAGTTTCTCTTTGAGAGTTATAAGGGTTTTATTTTAAAAGATGGTCCGTAGTCTCGATGAACAAAGGCTTATGTGGAAAAGACAGTTTTCAAGCAGTGACTATTATCTTACCTGGAAGAATCTCTTAAATTGGATGTAATGTGCAGTTAATTTTTTAAAGGGCATAAACTTCTTTTAGACATCTAGCAGTTTTAACTTGAAACACTAATAAATGTGATAATTTGTATCACTCCGGTTTGTTTTTGAGACATTCAGGTCTTTTACATTGTAAAAGGAAGCAGAAGTCTCAGAAACCCAGCAGCTAGCCACAGCGCTGTTTACTGCTGCTTCAGGGGCTCGGGCTGCTTCCCAGACTTTGTGTTAGCATCTCGATTTCACGCCTCCAAAAACGTGCTGGATGCCTCCCAGCCACACAGACAGGCTGTCGGGGGAGCAGGCACATCGGGGCCGAGCAGGGCCCTCGTCCCACCCTGCGTCTAAGAGCCACACCCCCTCACTCACCATTCGAAGGTGTCGCCTCAGCTTGTTGGCATGTGGGATGCTGCGTGTGGCTGCAGAAGTCTTGGTGGGACGTTCACGTCTGCCCTTTGAGCTGCAGTGGCGCGTTGTGCTCTCTCACCGTGTGTTGCTCACGTGGCCTGTCGCTTTCTGTTTGTCTCCCGTGCCGTCTCCTCCTGCCTCGCTCTGCTGGCCTCCTTGGCCTCTGTCAGCCCAACAGGCTGGGAAAGCTGGCTGAGCAGGTATGACCTTGACCTTGACCCCGCCTTGCGGCCCCTCTGTGCTGTCCCCCATGAGCTCATATGGCCTTGTCCTCAACTCCAGACGAACACGTGTTTCTTTTGCTGGCTCACTCGGCTCATAGTGGATGCTATTTGGCACATTACAAAAGGTTCTTTGTAATCAAATTTAAGAGCAAAGCTGTTTTCAAAATAATTTAGCATTCATCGTATTGCTTCTAGAGGAAAGGCTGTTTGGTCTCAGTGAGGCAGTGTTTGTTACGTCGCCGGGGGTTTCAGAGTGACGGTGAGCACAGTGGCCATTTAATTGGCTGTTCCTTATCTAATGAAACAGAACATAACGTCCCTCACTCAGGGCCCACGTCCAGTTTCAGGAGGGAAGCGAGGACGTCACCCTGGCTGACCTTGACTGAGCCGCTGCTGTGCTTGGCCCGCAGCAGAGTGAGGTCGCCCGGTGAGAGGCCAGGCCCCTCCCCACGGTGGGGTCTTCCCCATAACGTGGAGACCAGGGCTCAGACCTGAAGCGTGAAGTGGTACCATCTGGCACGTTTATTCAGTGTTGCCGGGTGTTTCACTGATGCGGTCAGGCCACGTGGACATTAGGGTGGCAGGCATCGGTGCCCCTGGGCGGAGGCCACGCTGTGTAGATGCAGACACGCTGCTGAAGCCGCGCTGAGTGTCAGGGTACCTCTGTTGCTCTCCTTCCAGGGCACGGCCGGCCCGGACCCCACCACAGTCTATGTGGACTTGAGGGCGCTGCGCCATGACAGGTAACGGTGTGCAGCTGGGTCTGCCCCGGCAGACAGCTGGCCGAGCTCCTTGGGGGAGTCTGGGCCTCCCCCTCTTCGTCCCTGTGTCCCCATGCCTCAGTCAGTGTCCCTTTGTCTCATTCCCACGACTGGGAAGGCCAGAACGAGTGACTGGACATTTGATGGTTAGCTTTTTATGGGTTGAGGGCAAGTAGACCAACCAATGGCAAGGAGTTTTGTACGTGACCCCATTTTGAGGCAGGTCTTAGTTTTCACATCGGTATGCGTGTGCGGGGGCAGAAGCGTGGCAGCTTGAGGTGGACAGGTGGAGCGTTCCGAGAGTCCCAAAGCAGCCTGGAACGAGCTCCCGCCCTGGGGGAGAGGGCCCGTCCCCTGTGGCACCAAGGTCACAGCATGGTTGTGACCGAAAGCCTAGGGCCTTGGCTCTCGTCAACAGACTGGCCGTCACAGTGACACCCACGGATTACCCGGAGTCGCTGTCTTAGAGACGGTCACTTATGTAGTAGATTTCATGCCGAAGCCTTTCTCTTATTGATTTTTAGGGTCCGTTTGGTAGAACGGGGTTCTCCGCACAGCCTGCCGTTGACGGAGTCTGGGAAGGTAGGGGGGCTGCAGCTCTCCCGTGGACACAAGTGGCGGCGGGTGGGCCGGGGGGGGCCTCCTGTCACCATGCACGCACACAGACCCGAGACCCAGAGGGACCCCTTGGGCCAGGGCTGGACGCCTTCACGCGGTTCTGGAGCGAGGACCAGCACAGCCACGCAGCTCAGCCCCGGCCCGGGTGGCAGCCAGGATGTGCTCCCCGCCAGGGCCCCAGGCAGCAAGTTGCCACCGAAGCGAGTCCAGACCTGGGGAGGCCCCGGGAGCCCGCGGGTGACAGGGTGGGGGTGTGAGAGACACCGTGAGCCGGAGGGGTAAGCAGGCAGACCCAGGGCAGGTTCGGGGGAAGGAAGGGAGCCCGCAGCCTGACCGGACGTGTGAGAAGACGGTGTGACCGAGTGAGCCTGGCCAGGGGACAGCAGAGAGCAGGCAGGGCCATGCGCAGCTCCTGCCACCGTCGCGGTAGGCCGAGGGCGCAGGCGGGCACCAGCTCCATGCCTGCACAGCCCAGCCATGAGAAGGGGGGCGTGGCGCACCCACGCAGCCTGGAAGGGCCCCCCAACTGCTCACTCCTCCCCTGGCCACGGCCGCCCTCAGGCGGGCAAGGGGTGCGTGTGCGGGGCGAGCAAGGGCAGCGGCCACGGGACTGGGCAGGGGGTCCACTGGCCAGAGGTCCTGGGGGCCGTGGGCACAGGGAGGCCGGGGTGACAGCCTAGATGGGGGACGAGGAGGAGGCGTGGCCGAGTGGGCAGGAGGGTGAACCCGCTCGGCCGAGGCGTGGGTACGGGGCCCTCCCGGCCTCCGGCCCCGGCCGGGCGCACGCTCAGCGGGTGCGGTCGCTCTGACCTTCCGCGAGCCAAGCGTGTGCTTCCTGCCTCCTCGCGTCGCCAGCAGCCGCGGGAGCTTCTCCCCCCGTCCGACGGGCTTTCTCCCCTGTGCTCCGTTGTCACCATAACTGTGCCTAACGGGTTGGTGCTCTGGAAAGGGCCCTGGCTGCAGGTTCAGGCGGGCCCCACGGAGAGAGGTCAGAGCCTCCAGCAGTGTGTCCAGGAAACAGAATGGTCCCACGGGCGGCACGTGGCAAGGGCGCCACCACAGGGGGAGGAGAGCGGGGCCTGGCACTGAGCACGGGCGACAGAGCCTGTACTCAGGCCCTTCCTGCCCCTTGTCCCTCGCCCACCTGCCTGCTGGGCCCCACTGCCATCTCCAGTTTTAGACGTGAGGAAGCCGAGGACACGGTACACGAGACCAGGCCCGGAGCAGCCAGGCTACCAGTACAGAGGGTCCCCAGGACCAGTCATGGGGTGCCTGACCTGTGCGCCCCTGGAGTGTTCTCTGTGGGGCCTGGGAAGAGCCAACACCTCCGTCTGTCCTGGGTACACGGTGCAGGTCTCAGCGGTGGGACTGACAGAGTCACGGGCTCTTCATGTTTAGGGTCCCTGCCCAGAACCAGAAGGCTGACAGAGCCTGGAGACAGAGCCCTTGCGGGGCTGGACGGCCCCCCGCAGTCACATGCACTGTGAGAGGCGGGCTTTCCCCAGGCGGAGCGGGGCTCGCGTAGCCCATCTGCCCCTCACGACGTCCAGGACCCGGCCTGTGCGAGGGACATGGGAAGGAGGCCAGGAGTCCTGTTCGTGTTTGTCTGTCGAAGTCTCTTACTTGTGCTAAAACTCAAAGTCAAATTCACATTGGCTTTAGACCCCTGTCCCTGGCTCATGGGCTGCCTGCCGTTCGGGCCCGGGGCAAGGGCCAGGCTGTGCTGCCTCTCATGGGGGCCCTCCTTGCAGATCCTCCCCGGGGTCAAGGTCGTCATCGCGCACACCGAGACTAGAGGGCCCCTTGGAGACTCGCACCTGGGAGAGGTGAGGCGGCCGCGCCGACTGGCCTCAGCACACACGTTTGCGCTCCCGGACCCAGTCCCCAGCGGGATTCCAGGGTTCCCTGGGATGAGCACCCCATGCCGGGTTCCCCAGCAGCACAGGGAAAGCTTGAGTCTTTTAGGAGCCGGAGGCCTGAGGGGCCAGCAGCATGGGGGGTGGGGCTTTGCAGACTCTGAGGTGGGAGAAGGACCTCCTGCTCCTGAGGACACGTCCCCAGGACATGGGTTCTGCAGGGCTCGTGGTGACAGGCCTGCATTTATGCGTGTGCGGCAGAGTAACTTGGGACAGGTGGGACTCACTACCTGGAGGCTGGGGTAGCAGGGAGAGCACAGACCTTGGCTTGAGTGCCTAGGTTGGTCTGTCATGATGGGACCAGTCTTGTGCTCCCAGTGCCAGACTTTGGGGACATGCCATGGAACCGGTGTCCTGGTACCAGGCAGCCACAAGGACCCTGCTGGTCTCTGCTGCGGACAGCTTTCCGGGTCCGGTGGGTGCCACACAGACACTGCCCAGTCTCAGTCCAATTGGGACCAAGTGTGAGTGAGCCCAGGGGCTCCTGGGCACTCAGCACCCTAGTGGGAACACGTCCCTGTCCCTGGGCTAGGCGGGTTGCTGTGGGGCCTGTTAGGTGATTGTGTGCCCCACGGTGGTCACGCAGGGCCTGCTCCAGGCTAGGGCCCATGTCTCCTGGCAGACAGCCCCGTCTCCTCTTCGGGTGCTGCCTTTGGGGACGTCTAGAGCCAGGCAACTGACTGTGGGTCCAGGGCAGGCCGTGTTTGGAAGGGTGCCCCAGGCGCCCAGGACACAGCACCACTGGCCCGTGTGCACCGAGGGTGCGTGTGAGCACACGTGTGCGGGCGAGCCTGGTGCTGTTTGAGCCTCCTGCCCTCCCTCGTCCCTTTGGACATGCAGGCCGCCCCGTCTGCATCACAGCGTGTGAGGCGAGGGGTGGGGGTCCCGGCACTGAGCTTGCCCTTGGCACAGAATCTTGGCCAAGAACACTCTGCGTGGAGGCCAGCAGACATACTGACCTGCTCCCCATGCTTTGCCTGTGACCCAGTGCACGGGGTGGGGACACTGCGGAAGCCCGGCCTCGTGTGGTGTTCTGTCCGTTCTCTGTGAACGGGTGTCTCCGATGGTACCTGCACTCAGCTTGTCGTGGTTCTGCGTGCCCGCAGATCTGGGTGAGCAGCCCTCACAATGCCACTGGCTACTACACGGTCCACGGGGAGGAAGCACTTCACGCCGACCACTTTAGTGCCCGGCTGAGCTTTGGTGACACCCAGACCACTTGGGCGAGGACTGGCTACCTGGGCTTCCTGCGGAGGACAGAGCTCACCGACGCCAGCGGAGGTCAGCACTGCGCGGTCTGTCCCCGCCCCAGGGGGCGCTGCTCCTGGGGCCTCCCGCCGCCCCGCCCCGCTGGCCTGCGGGGTGCCTGCGTCCTGACGCCAGGCATGGGCCGGGCCAACAGTGCTGTTCTCTGGAGACTTGTTTCTCCCTGCAGCTGCCCCTCACTGTACTCGCAGGCTCGGCCTCTGCCAGGGATGTGGGGGCGTTGGCCCTAGGCCGTCATGTGCTCCTCGGGCAGAGCCACCAGCTCGGCTCAGCAGCCGCGTGTGGCACCCTCCCCACACAAGGCCAACTGGTCCCGTCAGCACCTCTGTAGCTGCAGATGCTGCTGTTTGAGACAGGAAATGCCTAAAGAATCGGGTTCACGCCGACATCGTCATCTAAGTGGAGGGGACAGGTGGCGCCTCCGCAAGGGCCCCACGGCCCGTGTTCCCGGGCGGGAGGCAGCAGTGGCAGCTCCCCGCCCAGGGAGCCCGATGGGGCGGCCCGGGTGCGCGGGCCCTGAGTCTTGCCCCTGCGTCCTGCCCCCGCTGAGGGTGCCACCTCTGCCGTTGACAGAGCGGCACGACGCGCTCTACGTGGTCGGGTCTCTGGACGAGACGCTGGAGCTGAGGGGCATGCGCTACCACCCCATCGACATCGAGACGTCCGTGGTCCGCGCGCACAGGACCATCGCCGAGTGGTGAGCGCCGGGGACGCCTGGGGCCCACACACCCCGCCCCTCGGGGTCCAGGCTCTGGACTCGCTCCGTGGAGCCCGCCCGAGACCCCGCTGCCCTTTGGTGTCCCTCTGTTTGTCCTCTTTCCTCGTCAGCTTTAAAGCAGGCTCTGCCCCGGACGCCGAGGCGACAGGCACGCCCCCCACGGCTGCTGGAGCTCGGCCCAGGGGGAGCTGCACCCGGACTCGTGACTCCTCCTCGCGTCGGGGCTCGCGTTGGGGCAGGTCCAGCTCTGAACGTGAAGTGGCACTGCCGCTTCCTGGCCAGAAGTTTAGTTAGAGCAGGCGTCCCTGTGAGCACAGCCGGCGGCACCCTCGAGTCGTGACCGTGTCAGGCAGCAGCACGTGTCAGTGCACGCGCTTCCCGGCGCGGCACCACCCGCCTCGTGTCCGCGTCCCCCAGAAGCCAGGGCGTGTCCCTGACGCTGCCTTCTCCCTGCAGTGCCGTGTTCACCTGGACCAACCTGCTGGTGGTGGTGGTGGAGCTGGACGGGCTGGAGCAGGATGCCCTGGACCTGGTGGCCTTGGTGACAAACGTGGTGCTGGAGGAGCATCACCTGGTGGTGGGCGTGGTGGTCATCGTGGACCCGGGCGTGATCCCCATCAACTCTCGAGGTGAGAAGCAGCGCATGCACCTGCGTGACGGCTTCCTGGCCGACCAGCTGGACCCCATCTACGTCGCCTACAACATGTGATGGCGTCACCCAGGGAGACACTGCACTGTCACAGACCCCCAGCACAAAGAACCCCGTTTCCCCGGGACACCACGCCTTTCCCCCTACTCTTACAGGCTCGTCTCAGAGTCCCCCAGATCTCCCTGAGAAGCCACTTCCTCAGTTATTCTAGGTCACTTTTCAAGGGCCCTTCCACAAACATAAGCATCAGTATTTTAACGGGGGGCGCCTGGGAAAGGCACGGAAGGCCGGGAAGGGCACCGCGGGGCGAGTGTGCTGCAAGTTTGCACTTCCTCAGGCGAGAAACATAGTTCTTGGTTTTCAGAACGTAGCAATTTATTCCTAGTCCCGATGATAAGGTCCTGTGCAGAGTCTGTGTGAGGAGGGACTGGGGCTGCCCGGCCGACTTGGACCGTGCCCGAGGGGCCGTGTGGAAAGGCCGTGGAAAGGGGACGGCCCCCCACGGTGTTCCCACCGCCACTTTCTCTGTTGAAACAGGCGTGCCCAACGGGCTAGCACGTTGTCACTGGCACTCGATAAGTGCCATCTGGGGCTGTCAAGGTAGATGCCCTGTTTCAGAAAGATAAGCCAGCATTTAGTTGTGAGCCATTTCGGGTTTGTGACTTCATGCTTATTTTCACGACATCACCATATGAATTAGTACGTGGAAGTGTGCTGGTGGTAGTTTTGTCTCAAGTCACAGATGTAGAAGCTGTGGCAGAGCCCCTATGGCAGGCAGGCTCGGCCTGGCCTTCACTTCTGGAGTTGTGTGCCTATAAAATTTGGCCAAGTCTATGGCCATGCCACCCTGAACGTGCCCGATCCCGCCTGATCTCAGAAGCTAAGCAAAGTCGGGCCTGGTTATTACTTGGGTGGGAGACCACCTAGGAAGACCAGGTGCTGTAGGTGTTAAAAAAAAGAAAAAAAAAAAAAACTTTTGGCCAAACCATATTCAGTTACTTTATTTCAGCGTGGCGAGACTGAGCGACGTGATATCATAGTAACCCTAAATCAAGGCAGAGAATGTAAGTCCTTTAGAAACTTCGAAGAATTTGAAGTGAAGTGTGAATCTAAGAGTATTTTTATATGGCTGGCAGTGTGTGTTTCCTGAAGCGGTTGGGTTTGGGGGATCCAGCGTGGGAGACTTTGTGAATCATGAGTGCTTCGTGGAGACAGCCAGGTTTTCTGCACTTTGCCTGGATCAGTGCCTAGCAGAACAGTTGTTATCCCTCCACCATTCCCATTCCCCACCAAGGAGGTCTGGCCAACACGCGGACTCACAGCTCCCGGTGTGTCCGCCCGCGGTGGTGCAGCCTGTCGCCCACGCGGGCGTCACTGCCCTCCATGGTGATCATGTACACACGCTGCGTGACCGACCGCTTGATGTACAGAGGTCGTCGCCATGGGCTAACGGGTGTTCCTTATGCCGGCCGGGGAGAGAACCCTGACCTTGATGTTGTAGCTTTATAGCAGACAAATACTGTAAAAATTTTGTATTGAAAAGTAGGTGGCAGTAAGACAAAGTGTCTTGAAATTAAGACTTTAAGAAGCACATTAAAATGTTTTAAAATTACTCTGGGAATCCTGTATATTACATTAAAATTTTTTATATCATGTTAATAAAAGTTATTGATTTTGTAATCCTGCATTTTTAAGTTACCCTGCGTAGGATGTATTTTCTTGTGCATTTCTTTTTTCTGAAGATAAAAAAGCACTGATGCTTCCCGCACAAATTCACAGAGCACATTAAAGTGTAAAGAAGGGTCTATCACCCTGTTTCTGGGTAACATGGTGGCATCAGGGTTTGGTGAAAACCATTTCAGGGATTTGTTTTTTTCTTTTAAAAATTTTTTGCAAAATTAGGATCGTATAATTTTATAATCAGCTTTTGTACCTAATAAATCGCAGACTTTCTAATCTTTTATGTATATTCTCCTACATGTTTTAATGACTGCATCGTACGCGTGCGCCAGGACGAGTGATGGCTTTTACTCGTCACTGCTGCTGCAAACCTCCTCGCGAACAGCCTGTGGTGACCACTGCGCCCCAGGCCCGGTGCCTCCAGGGAGAGTGCGAGGGTCGGGCAGCCCGGGCGAGGCCCCTTTTCAGCTCCGACAGCGCTGGCTCAAGATCAAAATAAGCCCTTGCAATTTGAGTCAAATTAAGTGTCGTGTCTAGTGAAGTTGAATATGTTTTCGTGTGTTTATGCTCATTTTTATTCTTTATTCGATGTGTTCTATTCAGATTTTGCAGTTCTTATTGTGTTCAAGGATTTTTTTTTAATTATTGATTTATAGGAGCCCTTTTATATTAGGAATCATAAGCTCCACATAGTCCATTTTTTCTCTCATGGATCATTTGTGTTAATTCAGGTTGTATTTTAAGTGTTCTGATTATTTTGTGCAAACTATGGCTACTTGTGCTTCATTTCAGACTGTGAGTATAGCTGGTTTGTTTTCAAAGTGATCTTGCTGAGACAGTGTGCATAACCTCAGCGGGGGGCCGCCAGCTCCGCCTCTGCGCCTTCCAGGCGGCTCTGAGGATGGAGAGGCCTGGCCTGTGCCTCGGCCTCGCTGATGGCTCGCGTTGCCAGGGAACCGTGTGTGCTGACGGCATGCGTTGCCAGGGAACCGTGCGTGCGTAACCCTGCAGAAGGATGGGGAGGAGGCTGCCTTCCTTCCCTGCTGGGCCCTTCCACGTGAGTCCCGGCTTTTGATGGGCAGACACGCTTCCTCTTTGAATTGGGTGCAGTGGCCGTGCTGCAACGCTGCGTGTGTGACATTCACCTTCAGAAATGCAGAGTTCTTCTCGGTAGTAACTACTTGCAAAACTTGAAAGACCCTCGTGTTAGAGAGGAGTGATCTTTATCAAATTATCCAGCAGGTGGCTGGGCCCCTCTCCCCTCCCTGGGGGCAATCTGAGGGCCTGAATCCTCACCCTGTGCAGCCCACTTCCGTCCTCATCCGGACCCCCCACACCTCCCGTCTCCCTCCCCTTCAGGGTTTAACGAGGGAGTCTTTACCGGAGTCCATGAGGGGTTTGCGGGGGACCTTGCGGAGTTTGCCACGGGCAGCGCCAAGTGAGAAACTGAGAGATTATTCCAAGTTTTAAGTGTCAGCTGAGCACAGGGTGGCGTATTCCCCAGATGCTCCAAGTGACTGAAAGAGCCAAATTCCATGGACGTTCACTGCAGATGCCACGTAAAGGCCAAGAGCCGGAAAAGGGCCGTGAGGGACCAGGTGAAGCGGGGCAGAGGGCGCACAGATCCCTTGTCGCCAGCCGTGCTCTGGTGAAGTGAGACAAGCGTTTACTTTGCACCGAAAAGTGCAGATAGACGGTCACTTTCTAGCGCGACAGCCTGAGAAGTGCCACGGACATGCCAGCCAGTGAAGCTGGTGAAAATTACCGTTTCGGAGACGGCAGTTTGCTGAGGGCCTGGCGCAGCTGGGGTGGCCGCTGTGCGTGGAGGTCGGTCGGAGAGGCAGGGTCTGGCGTTGGAGCCCAGACTGCCCCTTGCCTCCCCTTCTCCCCCCCAAGCCCTGGCCCTGCCCAGCCGGGCAGAAACCCCACTCAGGCTCTGTCCCCGCCCTTCCCCAACCCGCCTCTCGCCTTCCCCCAGGCTGCATCCTGAGCAGGCGCACCTGAGGCAGGAGCTCGTCTCTGACCCAGCCTCACTGGAGCCTCTGCCTGGGACGAAGCCCACCGAGAGTGCAGGGGGCCCCCGGTGCCCTGGCCCCGCTCATGACGTGGTGGCTGCATGCCAGGAGATGCAAGCTCAGAAGACCCACTGCTGCCCCCCACTCCACTGAGCACCCAGCGCCTAAAGAGGGGGTGTCAGAAGCCTGGGTCCAGAATCCGGGCCCAGAGATTTTGCTGCTGGGAGAAGCGAGAACCATCAGACAGCTCCTCGTCTCCTCCCAAAGGGACGCCTCTCTCTGCAGAAGAGCTCGGAGAGCTCCGTGCTCAGGGCACTCGGAGATGGACGCTGTGGCGAGGGGCAGCTGGGAAGAGGCGCGCGGATCCAGTGAAGACACAGGCTAAGTCGCAGGCCAGCTCGTCGGCAGGAGAACCGGGGGAGAAGCTGGGAAGGACCCTGTAGGGGTAGAAAGGGTCTCAAACCCTGACCTGGGAAGCTGCAGTCACGAGCGGCAGCACCACAGTGGTGGCCGGTGACACCACATGTGTGACCGTGGTCCCGCAAGGTCGTGATGGAGCTGGAAGGGTCCTGTTGCCTGGGGACTTCACAGCTGTCATGACGTCGCACAATGCACGGCCCCCGTGTTCGTGGCGACGCTGGTGTAAAGAACCCCGCCCTGCCACTCATGAAAGTGCGGCTCCTGCGGTTCCGAGTGGCGCGTGATCCCTGGCGGGGTGACGGCGCGGTCGCTGGTTTGCGTCGTTGCTGTGCTGTTGTTGTTTAGGGCCGCGTCCTCCGTATACAAAGTCTTCTGTACAGCGGCGGCCGCGTTCCCTCCCCCGCAGCCTCGCGCAGCCTGTGCTCACCGCGTCTCTTGATGGCATCGCCTCTCGTGCTTGATCTAGTCTCGTGCTGTCTGTTCGGTAACGTGCGGTGCAGGCTCGCAGCCAGGTGTGCAGTGGGCCAGCCCATCCAGGTGTGTGTAGGTGCACTGTACAAAGTTCACGTGATGAAATCACCTAGGGACACGTTGCTCGGAACAGCCTCGTCATGAAGAGGTATGTGCCTGTGTTCCACCAGCTAGTCCTGGATTTGCTCAAAGTCGGTGACAGGGCCGTTGACGCCCACAGAACAATGTCGAAAACAGCAGAGAAATCAGCTGGCAGCTGGTGAAGTTTAAGAGCCGGGAGTGGTTGGCAAGGAGGCTAGAGAGCCTGGCCAAAGCCACTGTCACTAAACAGCAACCACTAAAAAAACAGCTCAGAAAACATAATTCAAGAAATCTAAATGCTTTATTAGGAAATATTCACTTAATGCCCAAGAAAGTGGTAAAGGAAAAGTAAAACAGAGGGGAATCCAGCTCTGACCGCGCTGACGATAACTGGACAGGTTAAACCATTCGGAAGGCAGAGGTTATCCGCCTGCGTGTGCGCGTGTGCGTGTTGTGACCGGGGTGTGCGCGCATGGTCGCGGCTCGTGGCGGGAAAGCGCAGTGTGGCTCCTGGGCTCCGCGCAGAGACAGCAGCGTGTGGGGGTGGGGGCCAGGGCAGGGAGCCTGGGTCCCTGCAGGCCCCAGACCCTGCGGCACTTGCCAGGGCAGGGCCGCCAGATGGGGCCCTCTGCTTACGGTCTCTGTCCAGAGAGCCTCCAGGCTGCCGTTGGGGACGTTCTCTGGGCGACTGTGGCCCCGTCTCCTGGATGGACCTGGTAAACTGATGGGACACAGGGAGCTCTGTGCGGCTGGACTGGGTCGTGAGAAAAGCAACCTGAGACGGCAGGTCATTTAAAATGCAGAGATCTTGCTGAGACCTGATGGTCCCTGAGGATGCCTGAGAGGAGCTGTCCCTGCCCTGTGCCTTGCCCCAGCCATAGCCGCCCACCCAGCCCGAGTGTGGGGCCACCACCACCATGCCTGGGGCCCCACAGTGCCTCTCGGTGGGGGCAGGTCCCTCTTAACTGAGGACAGGAAGAGGATGGGCTCTTTACAAGCCAGAGCTCACGTCGCTGCTGCGAGGGAGCCCAGGGTGACCGGCGGGAGCAGCGTCCATCCCCGGGGTGGCTGTGAGGAGTGGCGGGGAGCGGTGTCCCTCCCCGGGGGGAGGGGGGTGCTGCGAGGACCGGCGGGGAACAGCGTCCCTCTCCGAGGATGGGGGGTGGCTGTGAGGACTGGGGGGAGCAGTGCCCCGCCACCCCGGGTGAAGGTGCATCCCTGGGCGTAGGGACAGAAGGCAGGCACCCCAAAGGGCTGGGACACCTGCCCTTCCCTGTGGTTTAGAAGCAGGCTGGACATCGGAGGGCTGAGTACCCTTGGGATTCTTGGATCCGTGGGGGCAAGGGAGGCCCTGGCGCCACCTGGCTGTAGCCCTTGGCTGCCCTCTGGTGAAGGGAGACCTCTCTCACCACAGCCCAGAGCCCACCCACACCCACCTCCCTGTTACCGGGACCCCCTGCGCAGGGCTGTGCGGCCCTTGGCTGGAGCAGGAGCCGCACAGACGTGGCCCACCCCCTGGGCCTGCCCAGCCTGCTGCTCCTCCTGTGTCCCCACCGCAGCCCAGGGCCTGGCCCCCGTGAAAGCGCCGGACACCAGATGGCAGGACAGCGGCGCGTGGCCACTGGGCATGGCCGGCGGTTCCCAGGCTGACCCGCCTGAAGCCTCGGATGGGGCCCCGGGGGCCTGCACAGAGCCCAGGCTGGCCCCGCCTCTCCAGGGACACCCCACCCCCACCGCCCCTCCCACTGGAAACCCCTGGGGCACCCCTCTCCCCAGGCCTGGGGACTAGCCGGTTCCTGAGCCCCTCGCCTCAGCCCTCCCAGCTCCTGGGGGCCCCGCCCCTCTGCTGGCCGAGTCCGTTCGCCCCGCTGGCAGCGTCTCCCCGGGGACCAGCTCGGGGCACCCTGCCTGCGGGATTCGCGTTTCCCCTGGGCCGTTGGTGCTGCTGCATCTGTCCCGTGGGGCCATCTGGAGGGCCGCCGTGCTGGGGTCTCCTAGGGTGGGAGCTTGCCCAGACCAGCCACGTAGGCAGTGCCCCCAAGGGCTCCCGAAACGGCAGCCACCACCCAGCACCCTTCTCTACTGGGTCTGCGGCCAGCACCAAGGGACCAGCAGGTGCCACCGACCGTGTGGCAGCAGAGGCAGCCCCCAGACCCCGGCGGGCACTCGCTCTCACTCCACATTCAATGGCTACGAGATGTCGCAGTGCTTTTATTTAATGCAAGCAGAAGCCACCAATTGATTTATGAATTTCCAAAGGATCTGTGTCCTTGAATAAAACAGGAAAGGGGGGGATGAGATTGACTCGGATTTTTCTAGAAGTGGTTTTTAATATTTGTAACTTGATTAGGTGAAATGATTTACTTGAATTCGTGGACACGGAAGCGTAACTTTGCCCACAGTGAGGAGAGACCCGCCTCGGCGCAGACAAGCCGGTCGCTCAGCGGTGACCGGCAAGGAGGCCGAGGAGAAAGAGCCTTGCAGTACAAGGGTCTCCCAGAGGCGGGGGCCAAGCCGGCCCCCTGGCCCTGAGCCCAGGCACCCCTGCCAGCAGGCGTCCCGCAGACCCCGCAAGCACGAGCCCTCAGGACGGAGCCGCTGAATGTGGGCTGACTCTCCGTCCTGACGAGAGCTGAAATGTCAGCGCGTGTTGCTTTCTGAGACACATTTTCCCCTTTAGAACTGCTGGCGTTAAACATTTACTCAGTAATCGCAGCCTCCCCTCGGAAAAGGGACCTACAGGTGGCCGTGCTCTGTGGGCCGGCCGACGGCTCGGCCGGACACCGGCAGCGTCAGGTGTCCTGTGCGCCGGTGATGGGCGCCTTTTCAGAGGGAGGCGGGCAGAGCTGCGCAGTTTTAGATGTGGCGGTGACTAAACCGCGGCTGCCGGAGTCCTGGTCAGCAGTCAGGGGTGCTGTTGGGGGTTAGAGTTCTACGTAGCCGCGGCAGCCGGGGTGGCACAGGCTTTGTGGCTGACAGTTGACTTTCCTAAGTGACAATTATTGATTTCCCGGGACTGGGCGGTCGCACAAATGCCTAGCACAGCAGAAGTGAGGATGGGGCCCCTAAAAGCAGCCCTTGGAAAGAGGGTTCCAGTGTGCCCTTCACAAAGCAGTAAGCTCCCTAGTTAGCTACGGCACAGCGGGAAGTGCAGCGCCTACTGGCCTGCAAGCCCCCGCTCTGCGCTTCCTGTGTGACCTTCATCTCTGCGACAGGGCCAGCTTGGCCGTTCTCCCTGGTTCACTCCTGCTCAAAGAACTCATGGCAGGCAGTGGTGACCATGGCAACGAAGGCCATGAATTCCCGGAAGTCACATTCGCCGTCCCCATCAAGGTCCAGAGCTTCCATGACTTTGTCCACAGCCTCCTGCTCCCTGATTTCCTACGAGAGATGAGAGAAGGTGCTCGGCCTGTTTTTAAGCGGAATTTAGGGCCATAGAAACATGACTAACAGTTGGCTGATCTTAAAAATCAGTATCAGAAACAATGTAAGATATAAAATGCAAAATGCCTGAAGTGCTTCTCCTGTGACCAGGGGGCTGCTGGTTGGGGCTGTGCCTTCTCTACCTCACTCTAGGCCCAGTGGGACCCACCTGGGCTACGTGTGAAGACTGAACGGAACAACCAAGATCTGAGAACCTGCACTTAACATCAAACAAAACCACGGGAAAAGAAGAGAAGCGAACAGAGCAGCCGGACGGAGGGTCTGCAAATGTCCGGGAAGGAAAGACTGCGCCTCTGGCCCCTACGTTTTCTCCGTCCCTGTGTGCGGAATCCTGCAGTAGGGGCTTCCGTGGACCGTCGTGTCTGAGGGTGTTTTGTCTGGAGCAGCTCGGAAACGTGCCCTGATGTGTGAACGTGGTGAGTTGCTTTGTGGGTGTCACGGACCGCCTCTGATGTTCCTCCTCGCAGCACGGAGCCGAGTGAATAGAGTTAGAACCAAGCACGAACTCGGGGCCAGCTACAGAGAGGCGGGAAGGACGCGGCCTCGGGCGCGCGCAGGCAGGGCCCACGCGCGTCGGCGGAGACGCGTGCGATGTGTCCCTACACCATGGATTTGCTTCCCAACTGAAATTGCCTTGGTAAAACCAGGCCAGCACACGTTCACGAGACCTCGCTACACTCCCCACGAATTGCTTACCTTTTACAAACTGTGGTTCCCACGTGCCAAGCTGTTTTCAAATCACTAATAATAGCAGTTACTGGTTATCACGCTCTCACTCTACGGTAAGCACCTGACAGACACTGTCTCATCTCATCCTACGACCGAGAAGACCCTGGGACGTTTTGCTTGTTGAGTTAGGGGATTGTTGGGCCTAGACAACTGAACACACCGTGGGAGGGACAGCTGACTGCCCAGAGTCAGACTAGGGCCGCCCCCGCCCCGCCTCAGGCCTGCAGGCCACTTCCTCTGCCCTGGCCCTGCCGTCACAGAGACGGGGTGTTTGGGTGGGTGTGGAACGGGTGAACCCCGCCAGTCTGCTGCCTGAACCTGGGCTCGTCCTGCGCTTAGCGGCTCGGCCGGCTGGGACGGAGGCCGCCGGTCACTGTCCCGGGGCCTGTCTCTGGTGTCTTCCCTGGGACTGGCCTGCCAGACAGGAGTGCCCTGGCTCACTGGCTGGCCATTTCCCCCGAGTAGTTGGTCACTTCAGCGTCCTGGGTTCTGGGCACTAAGGTGATGGCAGTTCAGTGCCTCCAGGCACAGAGCGGTGAGCCATGAGGCGAGGGCAGCTGATTCGGGCCAGAGCTATGGGCAGGGGAGTGAGTCCTCGGCAAGGCGTCTGGACGTCGCACCACAGGCCAGAGAGGGACCTGCCTGGGGAAGGGGCCCATGAGGATGGTCTGAAACTGAAGGCCCCTCCTCTCCCGTTACCTTAGCCCCTGAGGCCTGCAGCTGGCGCAGGGCGCTGTCTCGTCAGGTAGGCCCTGCAGCCTGTGCCAAGCCGGGCGCCTCCGACACGGAGGCTACGTCCTCGGGCCTGGGTGTCCCAGGCTGGGACGTCGGGGGTGCTCAGTAAACGTGTGCCGAGTGGCGTCTTCGATCACCGTCGTGGATGCTAAACATCTAGCTAAAGCCATAACAGCCCTTTTCCTCCAAGCAGAAGCTCGTCTCTAGCATCTTTCCAGCGTGCTCGCCGTGGCCACGCTAAGTCGCCAGCGCGTGCCCGTCCGTGCCGCCGTCGCTATGGCGGGGCACCTCAGGTTTCTCCAGAGGTCCTGCCGTCGCGGTCCTGCCTTTGCCTGGGAGCAGGACCACCCTCGGGGCTGCTCCGAAGAGACGTGCACGCGGTTTTGTGAGGGGAGAGAGGGCACCACTGGCGGCTTCGAAGGCAAGACTCACCTCGAGGAAGTGGGGGAGCTCGTTGCTGAGCAGCTCCTTGAGCTCGGACTTCTTCAGCTTGTGCTTGTCGCCCTCCCTCCCGGAGTACTGATGGAAAACGCCGATGAGGGCCACCACGGCCTTCTCCAGCTCGGACATCCTGGGGCCCAGAGGAAACACCTGCTCACGCTTCCTGCCTCGTCTTACATGGCAGGGCACATGCTGTCTCGGGCCCCGGCTGGACAAGGCCCATTGCCCCTCTGAGGCTCAGGGCAGGGCACTCTGGGGACCCCCACGGTTGTCACACTTCACCCCGTGACTCTTAGACCCCGCTCCGCTCATCCCTGCTGGCCGCGTCTATAACGTTCCCAGGGCTCTGGCTGCCGGTTGGGTTTGGCTGATGAGAAATGAGCAAAAACAGGCAGAGCAGTGAGGGGCTCTGGGGTGGACTCCCACCTGCTCCCCGGGGGCTGCCCTCTGCCCCGCAGCGTGGTCACTCCAAGACGAGTGACCGTGCAGAGCCGGAGGAGGGCACAGACACCGAATGTGTTCCGACACCCTCTCAGCAACACCTGGACCACGGGAGGAGACCCTGTGCGTGCGGCAGCACACCTGTGTTACCGAGCAGCCCAGGACAGTGCAGGTCCCCCCATGGGGGTTTCAAGGGTCATGAAATGTGGGAATTGCTGGAAAAAAAGAGTTACTGGAAAAATAAAGATGGGAGGATTGCCACAATTTTTTAAAAAAGATCAGTGAACAGTGCCTCGATCTGCTGGAAACAGACGCGTGGTCAGACCCTGCGGCTGAGCTGGGCCGGCAGGGGCAGCCCGGGCCCCGTCCGCACTGCCCCCGGTGGCCGCGGTGCTGCCTGCTCACTGCCCTTTCTCTGCAGTCGTCAGAGAAGCGTCCTGCTCCCCGCCCGCCTCGGCCTGCAGACTGCAGAGGGCTCTGCTCAGCCGCGGGCAGGCACATCTTAGAGGGTCAGGGTCGCCTCTCAGCCTCCTCACAAATCCCAGGCTCAGCCAGAGGCATTCGCCGACTTTCCCTTGAGTTCTAATTATTAAAGAATCTTAGCACTGTCTTGGTTAAAAACAAATGCAAGAATTACATCTAATTGTTAAACATCATTCTCGTGTTGAATATGTCACATCTTAAAAATAAATTGGAATAAAATATTTAAGATTATTTCTGATTTCCCAAAGGAAAGAGAATTGTGGTTTTTTGTCTTGCCCTATTGATAATCAATCTGCTTTGTTTTGCTTTTAAGTCCCTAAAAACCGGATCTAGTACACATAGATGGAACAATTCAGCTGGATTAAAATTTTTATCATTTTGTACTTTCTTATCCTTTGCACTCGAGTTTTCAATTACTGATTTTTTTTTAATGAAGCCAACCAAACAAAAAACTTTTACATCATCCCAATGCTTCCCAAATTCCTTGATGATCTGGGGATGGAGAGGTAAAATTATTTCTTGCGAAGTATGACTAGTGGGATTTTTTAAAAGGAAAAGTATAAAACATTCCATATGTTTTCTTCATAACTGCACAAATTAAAATCTTTTCCTGCTAAGCCTTCCTTTTGACAAAGAAACAACCAGTGATTTACGGTTTAGCTTTTAAGAGAAACGGAAACCCCCACGCGCCCTCCGAGCTCCGTCCTGGCCTCAGTCAGCCTCTTGCCCCTTCGTTCATCTTTCCATGTTGAAAACGAGAACTTTGGGGCTTTGACTCTGTGGAGGGCCCCACCAGGGGAGGCGCCCGAACCCCGACCTCGCTCGCCCTTTGACCTGCTATGTAGTTTACTTGCAGACCTCTGGGGGATCGCGTAGCTTCTGAGTAGTGTCCCAGGGACCTTGGGGTCGCCTGCCCAGGCCTAGGGCGGCAGGGAGCCAGCAGAGAAGGCATTTATCTGTGAGACCGAGGGTGTCAGCAGCCACCTGTGAGCCCCACGGAGGCTTCTGCGACTCTCAACCGACTCGGGCCTGAGCAGGTGAGCAGAGCAAGCGGCCTCGTGCCCACCCCGCAGGTCTGAGGCACACCACTGAAATGCTGCAGCTACCGCCCCGTCCCTACCCCACCCTCTCGGTCTCATCCCCCAGGAGAGAAGAGCAGGCTCCTCACTCACGTCAGACTTCGGTTGCTCCTCTGGTCACCTCCTGGCTGCAGTGTCCCTGGCAGCCGCGGTGGCAGGGGCGCTTTTTATCCCTCCTCTGGCCGGCCCATGCAGGCCCAGGTGGCCAATGGGGGCCGAGAGTGCGTGGGGGCGGCCCGGCCAGGCCCCCTGGGACTGCACTTGGGCCAAGGAAGACAAGAGCCTGCAGGGCAGGAAGTGGGGAGTCAGCTTTTTGTGCCGTTCCTAATTTATGCGTGATGTTGATGATCTGAAAGCCAGCTTTAACCGGTTCAGACAAAGCCACCCTTCAGCCTGGACGAGCCCAATGCAGGCTGGTTTCCAGGGCAAGGGCCCCAAGCCCGCTGTCTCCAGCCCCTGCCGGCCACCCGCAGGAGGCCCGGGACATCAGCGCCCTGAGCCAAGCAGGGCTGCCTGGAGAAGCCACCGAGGCCAGTGTCTGCAGAGACTGACCTGTGCGACAAAATTGATACCTGATGCTTTTAGGGAAGATCCTTGTGTAATGTGATTGAGACGTGCACCCCAAGGCCTCCTTCACCCAGGGCGAAGGTCACAGACTGTCAGAGCCCGACGGCCCCCTGGACATGTCCTTTGCAAAGTGATCTGCAGAGGTGAGGTGCTGTGCCCTCCTTGAGACAGGCCCACAGGCGGCCAGGGGGCCGCCTGTACCCGTCCCCAGTGGCGCCCCGCCCAGCCGCTCTAGGCAGAAGCCGGGGGTGAGCACTCCCCAGGACACTGACCTGGAAAGCGCTGGCTCCAGGGCCCTCCTGCTGGCTCGGGCTCGAGGTGGCCATGCAGCACCACAAAGATGTCTGTGGACACTGTCGTTTGTTGTCATCGGTGTTACTGGGAAATTCTTGGTGGCTCAACACCCAGAAGTGTCCCTGGAAACAGAGCGGGGCTGGGAGCTCGGGCCTGGCCCCCAGGTCTGCGCCTTACAACCAGCTGCCTGGTGGGGGGCCCCCCAGGGTCTGCAGTGTGTGTGGGCTCTGCCCTGAAGGGCACAGACACAGCGTTTGGGCCCCACTCAAGGTGACCTTGAAAAGCAGTGGCAACGGGTAGTCCTCTCAGGCAGAGCTTTGAGCAGTTTGCTGGGTTGCCCTATGCGTCTGCAGTGACGAGTGGCTGGAGTAAGGATGTGCATCCATTCACGCAAGGGTGCTCACGATTTGGTTGGCCAGCAGCTCGGCAGGAATAAGACCGGAGGACCAGTGACAAGGAAGGCTGTGGAGGAGACGGGGGACAGAGCCGGGACCGAGCGGTCTGGGCACCTGTGATCGAGCGAATGTCCCCGTGGGCACGCCCTGCAGAAGAGGCTCTGAGCAGTCGGGGACGTGGTCGCCCCGTGAGTGTCAGCCAGCTCCGCCTGTCACCACTCCAGGGCTCACTCACTGTGTCCGTGAGCAAAGTGGCCGTGTGGCAGACATGGAAACGTGCATGTGCTCATCGTCATGGTCCTCTCACCAAAGCTGACCGGCTCTGGCAGCTGCCAGAGCCGCTGACAGCCAAGACCCGTGCTGAGTCCGTGGGGACCAGCAGATGCCTGGTGGCCAGCTGACTACGGAGGGCCTCTTCTGTCCCAGGAGGGGCAGAGGCCTGTCCTCCCTGGTCGTGGAGTGGACTGCCCCGTCCGCACCGCGCCCACCCGACGGCCCGGCCCCACGAAAGCTGTGTCCACTGCAGTGGCGTCTGGGCAGCTTTGTACACGACCAGGGAGCGGAGGAAGTGTGACGAGGGGCTTGTGCCCATGAGAAAACTGGTTTCGCCACACACCGATGACCTGGAGGTAGCCGGCCCCGTCGCCGGGTGCACAAGCTTCCTGAATAGTCAGTCGTGGCGTCCGGGGGGGGCAGTCAGCACTGAAGAGAGGGGTTCGGTATCACAGGCCACTCTGAACCAGGGGCCGCTCCACGGTGCTGTGTCCTCCAGAGCCAGGCACATGGGTGCGGGAATCGAGAATTGGAAGTACGCGGTCTATGGCCTGCCACCCGGAACGTGCCCGATCCTGGCCAACCTTGGAAGCTAAGCAGGGTCGGGCCTGAATAGTACTTGGATGGGAGACCGCCTGAGAATACCGGGTGCTGTGGGCGCTTAAAAAAGAGAGAGAGAAAAGAATTGGAAGTACGCGTGCTCCTCCCCCCACGACACTTAGTAACCTTCTCGCAGGATGCTGGTTTCCAGTCCCAGCAACTTTGGGACAGTCTAGAGATCTTGGTATACAGAGGGGCACGCCTCCCCGCAGCCAACGCCGAGCCAGCCACTAGGCCACTTAGGGCTCCTCCTGCCTCTGAACCAACAGGCAAAAAGGGGCGACGTGCTGGCTAGAGTGGTGGATCCAGCTGGCACGGGGCGGGCGTCCACGGCACCTGGGGCCCTGGGCCCTCTTAGTCTTTCCGTGGGCACCAAAGGCCGACAGAAAACTGCAGCCACCAAAAAGTCACAGCTCGCCAGGACCGCGGGGTCAGGTCCTTCGGCCGTGAAGGTCTGGTCACTGCCCACTGCGGAGCCAGCAGCTTCTGGCTGAGGGCCAGGAGGCGAGGCGAGGCATGGGCTCTGGCGGAAGGACGTCAGCCAGGCCTCACTCACCACCTGTCCGCCAGCGAGGACCCGGCGGCTTTGCGCACTTCTGCTTCTTATACGCGTTTATTCACTGACCGTTTTCTTCTGTCTCCTCCCCAGGTGTTACCTGATAAGCAACGTGTTGGAGGGGGGCCTTTCAGTGTGGTGTCCAGGTGACTGGATTTTCAGTGGAAACAGCTGAATCCAAGAGTAAACATCGCGGTGGGCACGGGACTGTTGCGTCTGTGCATCTTCCCGCTGGGCGAGGAACGTCTTCACTCGTCACAAAGGCGGCTGTGTCATTGCAGAAAGGTGCAATGACTTCGCTGTGGCGCAGGATTCAGATGCATGCGGCGAGCTGCGCTTGTCGCGGGTCCCGAAGTCTGGACCCCGCACCGGGCCTGCCACTGTCTGCCTGGCGCTGGCGCTGGCGCCGCGCGGTGGGCCGGGCAGATGCGTGGGCTCGGGCCGGGGGCGGCCCTGCGGGACAGGGCTCCCCATCTCGCTCTGCATCTCCCGCTGCCAGTGTCTGGCGCCGCTTGGCTCCAGCTATGTGTCCGGAGAGGGCGGCCCTCGGCCACCCTGCGGCCTGGCCTGGGCCGCACGGCCTCTGCGGCCCAACTGGTGACGCGGGCACGGCTCACTCTGCGCCTGCGTCCACGTCGGCCGCCTCAGCCTGCCGGTGCCGGGGAGCTGCGAGATGGCCGGTCAGTGGGCCGTGTCTCCCTGGTGCAGGCTGAAGGCGGGAGGTGCCTGGGTCGGAGGTCACTCACAGGACAACCAGTGGCCAGACGGTGCAGTTCGCAGCGTTCACGGCGTTCCTGGCCTCCGCCTGGCGCAGGGCGTGGGCTTGGATGTGGGCACTCGTCGGGGCGGTCGGCTGGGGACCGTGGCGCTGAGCCTGCCCCTCGTCCTCCCGCCTCAGGGTTCCTCCCGGCGACAGCCCCGCACCACGGCCTGCGGTCTGGGCATGGCCGGCACTAACGCGCAGGACCCTCAGGCGCACCATGCGCTCCTGCCCCAGCAGGCGTCCCTGCTGCTGATGCCTGGGGACCAGCTCTGGCCGAGCAGCAGCGACCTCCCGCTCCGTGCAGACCCGGCCTTGGGGAGGTCTGTTCTTGGTCATCGTCACTCAGGCCCAGGGGGCCCTTAGGGTTCTCTGTGCAGGGACTGTCATGCCCCTGTTAAACGTGCCCTGTTTACATTACTTTGTGGCTTCTGTCCTTTGATCGGACCCACTGGTACACTGGGCAACACAAAGAACAAAACAGTTTATTGATTTTTTATTAATCTTTCATTAGTCTAAAATGTTTTCGAAATGTTTAGAAAGAGTAAACTTAGCAGAGGGACAAAGTGGAGGGAAACAACAGCTCGACTGCCTGGCATCTATGGCTCCTTCCGAGCATATAAACCCCCGAACTGGCGCCCGGAGCACTTCTGACATCCGGTGCCTGGGTCCCCGACATCGTCGATTCCCTGGCACCAGCACGTGTCCCGCAGTTCGGCTCGGTTCCGACTCCAGCTGTGGGGCTGGTGCTGGCCCCCCAGTTAGGGCTCAGTCTCACAGCACTGCCCCCTTCAGACGTCACTTGCAAGTCCCGGGCCACACGTACTCTGACTGCCTAAAAATGGGGGTCCCCCTGACCCCTCCTCGGGTTCTATGAATTTGCCGGAGCGGCTCACAGAGCTCTGAGAAACACGTCATTTAGTTTGCGTAAAGTTTGGGACGGGAGGAAGGAAGACGTGGGCGGGTGGGGTCTGGGGGTCTCGCAGCCCCCGTGCTCTCGGGGTGCACTGCTGCCCCAGCACCGCCACTGCTCACCAACTCGGATGCTCTCCGAACCTTGTTTTGGGGGTTTTATGGAGGTCCCACCCTGTAGGCACGATGGATTGTCACTGACCATTGATGACTGGCTCAGCCCCAAGGTCAGGGTGGGGAAGCAAGGTCCAGCTCTCTCCTCTGTGGTGGTTCCCCTGGTGACCAGCCCCCACCCTGAGGCCCACGGTCTGCTCATTAGCATCATGTTAGGTGTGGCTGGAAGGTCCCACTGGGAATAACAAGCTGTGCCTCCCACACCGTCACCCCAGGATTACAGGGTTTTAGAAGCTCTGCCAGGGACCAGGACACGGCCCAGCTCTGTGCGTGTTAGACCACATCGCATGATGTAACAGGCGCTCGTAAGCGTAAAGGGTCTACGTAGGGGAGGGGTGTGCACTGTTGCCCAGGTGAGAACAAAGCTTCAGGAGGCAGAGAGCCGACTGGAGCTGTTTGCTGCAGAGCCATCACTGCCCGCCATGTGGAGCCCAGGAAGAAAGGTATGAGGGACACTGGCCAGGAGCCATCTGCCTGATGAGTGGCTGTGGCACCTTGAGAAATGGTCAGCTTCTCCATCTGGGGTGCCAGGAGGGGTGATGGAGGCTCAGCCCCTCTGCGTCTAGGCTGCCATTTCTCTCGATGGAAAGTCAGCCATGGGACCCACCAGGAGGGTCTGCCGGCAGAGGAGTGGGCTGCCAGAATTGGGGGGGGCAGCAGCATCATGGGGGGCCGGGTCCACTTCCCAGACTGGACTGCCGTCTGCACCTAGGTCAGCGGGCACATAGCTTCCACCACGACGTCTCCTGTCACTCAGAGGCCCTCCTTTCAGCCCACCCCTCGTCCGCTCACCAGCCCTCAGTGCCACTTAGTGCACTGACCAGACCCAGGCCCGGTGCGTCCGCGCAGGGGCCAGAGAGTCCTCGGGCTTGAGTTTCCAGGAGGTGAGGCCTTGGGCAGCGACGTTCTCTCACACAAAGGACAGTGCCATCCGCCACCAAGCTGCTCACGAGGTTGATTACAGTGCCCCATGTCCATGGGGAGAAAAGGGTGCCTGTGTTCCAAAGGGACGTGGGAGAAGGGACAGAGGCCGCTGTTGTGGTGAACGCGTGTCGCAGCAGTGGGGATCGTCCCTGCTGTGACGGAGGCTGCAGCCACCGCAGGCCCTGGGGAGCCAGGCGGGGTTCAGGTCCTGCGCTGTGGGGAGACCTTCAGCAAATGACTGCACAATTCTCAGCCTCAGGAAAAGAGGAAAAGCAGCACCCCTCAGAGGGTTGCTGGGGCAGTAAGTGAAGTTGTGCACGCACGCACACGCACACGCACGCACACGCCTGCACCAGCGCATACAATGTGCAGTGCCTAATGCGCTCACTCAGTGGTCGCTGTTATTATCATAAAAGTTACTATTCCTATGTATCAAAGTACCTGGCTCTGTCAGGTGAACTCCTGGCAGACAGAGCAAAGGACGAAGGACACAGATTTCATTTTGAGCCAGTCCACGACGTTCCAAAAGCACAAGACAAACTCGTTGGCCAATCTAGAAGACATAATTTGGCAAATTGTGATAGACTATCTATTTCACAAGTATCGCATTTCATTATTTTTATACTACATCAGATTCCATGAATCCTTTAGTTCTCTCCCCAGTCATTCCAAAACCTGTGCTTCCATCCAGGAGGGCAGCCCAGCGGGAGCAGAGCTGCTGGGGTCCATGGCAACGTCAGCACCCGCTCAAAACAGCAGGGCTTTTGTTTTTGTTTTTCAACTTTTTTTTTTTTTTTTTTTTACTTTTGAGAAAGAACTGGCGATGAGCACAGTGAGCGCACTTTCCTCCACGGCTCTGTGTGTGTGAGGTTTCTGCCCAGGGAGCTGCATCCCAGTGAGAAGCCAGGGCGTGCTGGACCCATGCCAGGGAAAGGCAACAAAGGAAAACCGTGTTTCTCCTCTCAGGAACTCTGCAAACAGTTATTTGAATATATTTTTAATAACTTTTAAGGACTCCCAGAAATTTGTCATAAAATCATCTCAGGTTTAATGTTTAAAAAACATTACTAGATTAGCCTCTTTGGTTTTTTACTAGACAGGAACTTTTTCTATATACTCTGTAATCATCACATATTTTTGTCACTTTGTCCATTGTGGGCCCAGAACAGCACACAGTATTCAACGACATTAAGCCAAATGAACAACAAAAACCTGATCAAGTGGTTGTTAGAATGTTTAACTAATGAGGAATCATATACCTTGATTTAAAAATGCCTCTGTGAGACTGAACCATCTCCAATGAGAATGATCCAAAAGGCGGGAATAAGTTAATCTATTTTAGATTTAAATAAAGAATATACCAAACAAAATAGAGAATATGAAAAGTAAGAAAGTGTAAACCAGGGTTTAAGTGAAGTTATTTTGTTCCAAAGGTGAATTTGTTTACATGGGGGCTGTATCAGGGTGTCACCCAAACTGTCGTGCTTATTGATACAAACACATAGCAGAACGACTATAAAGTAATAAACATTTAAGCTTTAATATCAAGAGTGTTCGGTCTGGGCAAGGCTACTGTTTGCTGATCCAAACAACTCCCTGAAGACCGTGGGGCATCAGCTCCTGCTGGGGGCAGGCTACTCTCTGCAGCGGCATTGAACACCCTGCAGTGGCATTGAACACCCTGCTTTTTGTTACTTAATTGACCATCTCGCCTGCCAACACTGGCGCCTGTGTTCCACTGGCATCAAGCTCCAGCCACAGGGATTTTCAAGTCTCCCTGGCAGCTGGACATCAACTCTCCATTGCCTAAGCCGACTCCCAAGAACCACCTGGTAGAAAGGCACACCTCAGCTAAACTTGGACTTAATTTCTTTCATCTCCCCTTTGCCTGGAACAATAGCATAATTCACCTATCATTGGTTTGAAGTATGTTTCTTTATTGGCTTATTAAGAGATATTATCCTACATGCTATCGGCTTGTGAGATATAAGTTATAGTTCCTGCAGTGAACCTATATTAAATTATTTAACGATCTCAGTCTCAGCATAATTTTGCCATGAACAAAACACCTATAAAAGGTTGGATAGAAGTGGTGAAAGTGGATATATTTGCCTTGTTTCTGATAAAAACTTTTACATCATTATAATATTTAGTGATAGGTTTTTTTTGATAGATGCCTTTTAACAGAAGGTGTTCTATTTTTGCTGAGATTAAAAATGATTGGGTATTGAATTTTGTCAAATCTTAAAAAAATTTATTGAAATTATATAATTTTCTTCTTTATTCTATTAATATGGTGAATTACTTTAATTTCTAAGTGTTAGTCCAAGTTTGCATTACTGGGATAAACTCCACTTGGCCATAACGATTACCCTCAGAATATTTAGATTGACTTGCTAATGTTTTGTTAAGGATTTTTGCATCTATTTTAATGGATATTAGTCTGTAATTTTTTCTTGTGGGATATTTTTATGAGTTATGTGTGCCTCGTAAAACAAATCAGGAGGTGTCCATTCCCTATTTTCTTAAAATTTTGTTTAATACTGGTGTTATTTCTTTCTTATTCATTTTATAGAATTCACCATTGAAATCATTTGGGGCTGGAATTTCCTTTGCAGGAAAGTTTGGATGCACAGAAGTTAGGAAGCATTCCGCTTTTTTTTCTGGAAGAGTTTGTGTAACATTTGTATTATTTTCTCCTTATGTGTTTGGAAGTATTTACTGGCGTCATCATCTGGGCCTGGAGTATTCTTCCTAAGGTTTTAAATTATGAAATCGATTCCTTTAGCAGATATAAAAGTATGCACATTTTCTAAATATTCTTTTCCGCTTTTGGCAATTCGTTTTTTTCGAGGACTAACTCGTCAAAATTTTCGACGTTACGTTTGTAATAAGTTTATTTTTAAAAATCTGTACTTTGTACTGAAACTTTTTCATTCTTCATATTAGTACTTCGTGTTCCTGCTTCTTTAAAATAAACTATAAAACATAAAATTTGGCGCCTTAACGATCTCTCAGTGCAGCGTTCTGTGCTTTAAACACGTTCGCACAGCGCGTTCGCCCACAGCACCCGCTCCCGCCACCCCCCGCCCCCGGGGTCACGACGTCGCAACCCGGAGACCACCGCGCAGTTACGGGAAATGACGTCACCCATTTCCCTTGTCATCCCAAACGCCCTCTTGGTGAAATATAAACGTGATGTTTCTTTCCATTTATCAAGTGGAAAGAATGACAAACGGTTCACAGTTAACGGCGCAGGCGGTGAGGTAACTGAGAGCACGAGAAGGGGGCCCTGCTCCACCACGGCCACCCTGTCACCCACGGAGGGTTTCTGGTCGCCGGGCCGCGTTCCCCTCTCCGGGTCGGGCGTCAGCCCCAGC